CTTACTGGATCCAGCACATCCAGCAGTGCGACAACAGGAGATCTGCCATGCAGTGTCAGCAAAGCTGATTATTTCGTCCGCGGCGCAGGCGGCGGCAGCGGGCGATCTGGCGGCGCAGGTGGTAGTGGTGAGTGTCGATGCAATAACATTATGGACAAACAGCAACAGCACCGGTTGGGAAAGCTCAGCAGTTACGCCTGACCATGCGCTCTATGCTGTCTTTACCTCGGGTTCCACTGGCACCCCGAAGGGCTTGATCATTCCGCACGCGGCCTTTGCTACCAGTACTTTGGCACATAGACAGGTGTATGGTCTGACTGCCGAATCCCGAGTCTTCCAATTCTCGTCGTATGCGTTTGATGCCAGCATCATCGAGATTCTTGCAACTTTATCAGTTGGCGGCTGCATTTGCATCCCCTCCGATGCTTCCCGGCGCAATGATATTGCCAGGGCAGCTACTCAACTTCGCGTCAACTGGGCACAACTCACTCCGTCCGTTGCTCGGTTGGTGCAGGTGGAAGATGTCATGACACTAAAGACCTTGGTTCTGGTGGGCGAGCCAGTGTCAGTAGCAGATATTGAATCTTGGGATGGGCACGTGACAATAGTTAATGCTTATGGTCCTGCAGAGTGTTCGGCCATCTCAACTGTACACCCGAGTATGACAAAGACTGACGCATACAGCATCGGATGGGCAGTTGGCTGTGTGTGCTGGGTGGTGGACTGCAACGAGCACGAGCGGCTGGTACCAATTGGGGCAGTAGGCGAGCTGCTCATTGAAGGACCAATAGTCGGACATGGCTATCTTAATAATCCAGAACAGACAGCAGCAGCATTTATTGACCCCCCATCCTGGTTATATGATTTTCGTCCTGGCTGCCAGGCGGAAGATCTTGGCCTGCTGTACAAGACAGGTGACCTGGTACAGTATATGGGTGATGGATCATTAAAGTTTATTAAACGCAAAGATACCCAAGCTAAGATCCGGGGACAGCGAATTGAGCTTGGTGAGGTTGAGCATCACACACGGCAATGTTTCCCTAGGGCGCGCGATGTGGTGGCTGAGGTAGTGACACCAATGGGGCTCGGGCGCCCACCGCTGCTGGTGGCTTTTGTTTGGGAGGATGTTGGGAATAGTCTGAAATCCAAGTTCCAGGAAACTGGAAAGACTAGCGAGGGGAGTGTTGGGCATGATGCAGATGAGCTGCTGGCCGCGCCCACTGACGCCTTCCGCGAAGCCGTTTCAGAGGCCGAGGCAGCACTCCACGATGCCGTGCCAGCCTACATGGTGCCGGCCCTCTTTCTGCCCATCGTGGCTATTCCACTGACTGCTACGGGCAAGACTGACAGACGACGGCTGAGGGACCATGCGAAAGCGCTATCACGCGCGGAGCTCGAAGTATATCACAGCACTACGATGGCCAAACGCAGCCCCAGCACGCCAGCGGAGCACATCCTGCAGCAAATTTGGGCCAAGGTCCTCAATATTGAGCCCGGTTCTATCGGGGCGGATGACAGCTTCTTCCGCCTAGGTGGCGACTCGATCACTGCCATGCAGCTCTCTGCACAGTTACGGGGGGCCGGGTTTTCTTGCAGCGTTGCCGACATCTTCCACACCAAAACCATATCACGTCTCGCTTCAGCCCTAGCCCACGGTCATCAGATCCTACTTGATACCCACGAGCTGGTGGACAGAGTCTTTGAGCTCTCACCCATCCAGCGCTTATTTTTTGTCTTCAATGAGGACGGCCCCAATCATCTCAACCAGAGCTTTCTCCTCCCAGTCGCCGGACGGCTCGCCCGCGACGACCTCGCCCGAGCCCTTGACGTCCTTGTTCGTAATCATTCCATGCTACGCGCTCGCTTCCGCCGAGCCGAAGACGGCCAGTGGTCTCAAATGGTCAGCGCCCAGATCGACCGTAGCTATCGGTATCAATACTGGACGGTGGCACGCCTGGAAGATGCCCGGGATATCATATCAACCAGTCAGCGTAGTCTCGACATCGGGAACGGTCCACTCTTCGCTGCGGATCTGATCGATATCGACGGCGCGGAACAGTACCTGTTCCTCGTAGCGCACCATCTCGTTATTGACCTCGTGTCATGGCGGATTATCCTGGGAGATCTGGAGGAACTGCTTAAGACCGGCCAGCTATCCGCAGTCAAAACATTGCCATTCCAGACATGGTGCCGGCTACAGGCGAAATATAGCTCTGAGCACCTAGCCCCAAGTGCAGCCTTACCTTCCACCATACCGCCGGCTCTGCAGGATTACTGGGGTCCGGTGTGGCACCAGAATTCCCACGGTAATACCATCCGCGGCGGCTTTAGCCTCAGCGAGAAGCTCACTACCGTACTTTTCGGAGCGGCGAATGATGCCCTCCAAACTCAGCCGGTAGAGATCTTCCAGGCGGCACTCTGGCATTCCTTCGTTCAAGCATTCCCTGACCGGCCCCCGCCCACTATTTTTAACGAGGGCCACGGGCGGGAACCGTGGGACTCCTCTATCGATCTATCGCGGACGGTGGGCTGGTTTACCACAATATGGCCAACATGCCTTGGCACAGACGGCGGAGAGATTGGTATCGTTGATATTGTCCGTCGCACCAAAGACACGCGACGGCGGACTCCAAGTAATGGGTGGGCCTACTTTGCTTCTCGTTTTTTGAACCCGGAGGGTCGAACAGTCTTCGATACCCGTGGCCCAGTAGAGATCGCATTCAACTATCTCGGCTTGTATCAACAGCTGGAGCGGCAAGGATCCATCCTGCGTCCGCCAGTCAAGCTGGAAGACCACCCATCAGATGCAGCAGGCAACGTGCAGCGATTTGCGCTCATTGACGTTTCCGCTACAGTGGAGCGTGGACGTTTGCAATTCTTGTTTTGCTATAATAAGTACATGCAACACCAGGACGCCATCGTACGCTGGATGGCCAACTGCGAGCGGTCGTTACAGGATGCAGTGCAGCAGCTGTCCTCCCTAGATCCGACATACACGCTGTATGACTTTCCGCTCTTACCTCTGACGTATAATAGCCTCGACAGGTTACTCAATAGAACTCTGCCTCAAATTGGAATGCTAGGCCGGGACGTCGGGGGCGCTTATCCCTGTTCGCCGATGCAGCGAGGTATCCTGCTCAGCCAGGCCAAGGATGCTCGGCTCTACTGGCCACGTTTCATCTGGAAGGTCGTTCCAAGCAGCATACCAGGTGCAGTCGACATGGGCCGCCTCCAGCACGCCTGGCAGCAGGTTGTTGACCGCCACGCGGTTCTTCGGACCGTCTTTGTAGACAGCGGAAATGAGGGCTATGCTACCCAGGTGGTACGGCGCTTGACCACTGCCAATACTGCAGTTGTTGAATGTGTGAACAATGACCCCATCACCTCCCTCAAAAAGCACCCGAGAGCCTTAGGACAGGCAGGTCACCCCCCACATCGCTTGCTTCTGTGTGTCACGCCAACTGAGGCGTTTTGCGCACTCGAGATCAGCCACGCCCTGATCGATGCCCACTCGTCCCGCATCCTGCAGCGGGACCTACGGCTGTCATACGACCACAGGCTCCCGACAGAGCCAGGTACGCCATATGAAGAGTACATTAAGTATCTGTGTGGCCTCCCAGAAGTGGCCGCCGAAACATACTGGCGGTCATACATAGAAGGGGTGCAGCCATGCCATTTGCCCACCCTGCAGGGCCTTGGTGCGGGAAACCAGCAGCGCAAAGAACTCAGATTGACGTCTGCCCATCTCGGAGCTGGTGAGCGCTTCTATAAGTTCTGTCAAGGGCATGAGGTGACCCTGTCCAACCTCTTCCAGGTGGCGTGGGGCCTGGTGCTCCAGGCCTACACGGGCGCAAAGACGGCATGCTTCGGCTACCTGAACTCCGGCCGCGATATATCGGTCCGCGGGGTTCATGACATCGTTGGGCCGCTGATCAACATGCTCGTGTGTCGTATCGCAGCCGACTCTAACATATCCGTCCTAGCGATGCTGAAGAAGAACCACACAGACTACCTGCAGAGTCTCCCTTACCAGCACTACTCGCTTGCAGGAATCCTGCACCTGGCTGGAATGACAGGCGGGTCATTATTTAATACAATCATGTCCTTTCAGCGCTTGACAGATGAGAGGGGAGAACAGGGGAGTAGCATCCAAATAGAAGGTATCGGGGGTGAGGATCCTACAGAGGTGAGTTGATGACCAGGCGGGAGATAGTGAAATTGACCGCGCCTGATCGAGGCCTTTATACAGAGAGTATGTGACTAATTTGAATGTAGTACGATATTTCCGTCACAATAGGGATCAGTGATCGAGACATTAGAATCATGCTGCAGTACTGGTCCACAAGCTTGGGCGACAGGCGGGTAGCAGATATTGCAAGCACCTTCAGACATATTGTGAACGTGATCATTGACCAACCCGATTTGACGCCCAGCCAGCTGGAAATCATTAGTGCAGAGGACTGCCATCAACTCCAGGAGTGGAACAGGGATCTGCCGGAACGGGTAGACCGGTGCGTGCATGAACTCATAGCAGAGCAATGCCACGCCCAACCTGATGCACCAGCTGTTTGTGCGTGGGACGGCAACTTTACATATAGTGAGCTGGATGCGCGTTCATCAGTACTAGCAGTATATTTAGCTGCATGTGGTGTGGGGCCTGAAGTATTTGTACCATTGTACTTTGAAAAGTCACGATGGACAATAGTAGCTATACTAGCAGTGATAAAGGCTGGTGGAGCATTTATACTACTAGACCTGGCACATCCAGTAGCACGACAGCAGAAGATCTGCCGCGCGGTGTCAGCAAAGCTGGTTATAGCATCTGTATCACAGGCTGCGACAGCTGGGGGCCTGGCATCACGGGTGATCATGGTGGGTGACAACAGCATAGATTGGCAAGAGAAAGGCACCATATGGGAACACTCACCGGTTACGCCCAAAAATGCGCTATATGCTGTCTTCACTTCCGGCTCGACTGGAACCCCTAAGGGGGCTATCATCTCACATGCGGCTTTCTCTGTCAGCGCGACATCACATGGCCCACGGCTTCATCTCACACCAAAAGCGAGAGTCCTCCAATTCGTTTCATACGGATTCGATGTCAGTATATCCGATACACTCACGACACTGATCTCCGGGGCCTGTAATTGTGTCCCGTCACTCGCAGAGAAAGAGAATGTAGCCATGGCCATCAATAAATACATGGCAACATGGGCACATCTAACACCCTCTATTATCAAGACCCTGGAGCCCCACACTGTGCCAGGATTGGAAGTGTTGGCTCTCATTGGAGAACCGATTACTAAGTCAGATATAGAGATTTGGGGGCCGCATGTTCAGTTGATAAATTCATATGGCCCAGCAGAGTGTGCTGTGGTAAGTACAGTTCAAACTCATTTGGAGTCAGCTTCAGATGTGGGCAATATCGGGTGGGCAGTTGGCTGCATATGCTGGATAGTAGATCGCGAGAACCATGAACGACTAGTCCCTATCGGGGTGGTGGGCGAGCTGCTGATTGAGGGTCCAATTATCGGGCGTGGCTATCTCAACCCAGAACAGACAGCGGCGGCATTCATTGATCCGCCATTATGGCTGCATAGTTTCCGTCGTGACTGTCAACCCGCAGACCTTGGCCGGCTGTATAAGACAGGCGATCTAGTACAGTACACGGCTGACGGGTCCCTTCGATTCATTGGACGCAAGGACACGCAGGTCAAACTGCGGGGACAGCGCATTGAGCTGGGCGAGGTTGAGCACTATACCCGTCACTGTTTTGCGGGAGCGCACGACGTGGTGGCGGAGGTGGTGGCACCGGCGGAAGCTGGGCGGCCGCCCATGCTAGTGGCGTTTGTGCGAGGCGACGGACTACACCAGGAGCCGGAAGGTCAGAATTGTGACACTGCGGCGCCAAATGAGATCTTGGCTTCACCAACAGATGTGTTTCGCGCGGCTATCCCTGTCGCTGAGGCAGCGCTCCATGACGTAGTGCCGGCTTATATGGTGCCGGTGCTGTTCTTGCCCATCGTGGCCGTGCCACTGACGGCCACCGGCAAAACTGACCGGCGCCGGCTGCGGGACCGTGCAGCGGCCCTCTCCCGCACGGAGATCGAGGCGTACTACCCTGGTGCTGTGAAGTCCAAGCGCTACCCCACTACGGCGGTGGAGCGCACGCTGCAGCATCTCTGGGGCAAAGTCTTGAATATCCCATCCCACACCATTGGGATGGACGATAGCTTCTTCCGCCTCGGCGGTGACTCGATCACCGCTTTGCGCCTCGCCGGTGCCGCTCGCTCCAGCGGCCTTGATCTCTCCGCAGCCCATCTTTTTCGGTATCCAACACTTTCTCAGCAGACCTCACTCATATCCTGTTCATCTCCTGATGTTGCTCTTGCCACGGACCCTGGTCCTCTACCTTTGCTTGATGAGGACGTTCCTGACTCTGCCTCCTTTCGTCAACTTGCCGCTGTGAATGGTGGTGCTCACATGACCTGAGGCCACCTCATCCTGCCTCTATGATCCTATTATTTTGGTACGTATTTCGAGCCATTCGATGGCTACCATAGCTGTTCGTCACTCCGTATATAATCTCACTCAGCCTCGGGTTCAAATTATACTCTCTCCGCTACTTCATAACAAGCCGACTATATCAAGTCTCACCAGTGCACGTATTATATTCTGTTGAAACGACGTTTTAGGTCAATATTGAAGTCGTAATAAACGCTTGATTCTTCTATCTAGGCGCGCTCGGAAGGAGCGGTTGAGGTTACGGAGTTTACGCGTCACGTGACCTCGACTAGTAGTAATCTACTGAGATTACGTTCCAACATATTCTATTCAATTCGTAAATTCTCAAGGCATCAGAGAGACAGGGGCAGGGGAGGGTTAGCTTGTAAGGATCTAGAATTTACGTAGATACCCATGAACCAGTGGAATACACAAAGAAGCGACGAGTGATGGCTGCGACAGTGATAATCGTAGTATTTTGGTATATAGTACTATCCTATGATACTGCTCTAATATTATGATACCGTCATCGGGCCATTCACTTACTACTACAGTAAAACACCGATATAAGCAACACCTGATATAGGAATCCTCCATTACAAGCAACTGGCCACGGTGTCCAAATTGCAACACCATACTAACTTGCTTCACTCTCCAATATCAGTAAAACACGGATATAAGCAACACCGATATAAGCAATCCTCCACTACAAGCAACTCAATCACTGGTCTGAATTGATTTTACATACTAAATTGCTTTTATTAAGGGAAAGTGGGTCTACACAACTAATAAACAACTAATCGGAGAGCTTGAATACAGCCAAAGTCTTGTATAGTAATAATAATATACATTAATGCACGTGAGTTTAGCTAAATGGTCGGTTTTCTTAGCCGACTGGTTAATTTTAGGCCATTTTACATACATTTCGATATAGGGAATAATCCACTATAAGCAATCTGAGGGGTGATCTGTATTAATTGCTTATATCCGTGTTTTACTGTACTAGGAAGTTGCCACGTTCTTGACCTCTCTCCATACAAGATTGCTTATATTGGATGATCGGAAAAGCTAATTTAGTCATCATTGAGATATCATGCCGAAGCAGACCTCCAAACGAACGCGATGTTGCATTTCCAACAGCCAGAAACTGCTCTACGCGCTCAACATCACTTGAATTCTCATCTCACTATTCTCAACCTATCAAGTGATTCGAAGCAACGTACAACCAGCGGATTACTCCTTCCTCTGTATCCCGTATCCTGTCCTCCCGATACGATTATCTTGATGCTATACCCGACCACCAATTGAATGATAAACGACGTCGAACGGAGTTGTGGCCAGAGCTAGAGATAGCAGTTCTTGACTGGATAAAACGCGCGCAGTCCCATATTACTATATCACAAGAAGTCACACGGCGAGAAAGCAAGGCAGTACTGGCCGATTATCTATTCTGATAAGATGATGCCGTCATTCAGTAACGGCTGGCTTCGAGGCTTCCAGCCTAGGAGGAACATCAAGAGTCTTAGGCAATACGGAGAGGGCAGGGAAGTAATGCTTGGAAATGAGGCTGAAGATGAGATGATCTTAATACGCAAAGCTCTGCGTGTTTACGCACCTCGTGATATCTTCAACTGTGATGAGGCTGGCTTATATTGGAGAATGCCTCCTGATCGTGGTCTTTCTACGCGTTCACTTCCTGGACGTAAGAAAGATAAAGCGCGTATCAGTATACACTTTTGCTGCAATTCTGACGCCTCCGAACGCCTTCCTCTATGGTTTATTGGTGCAGCAAAGAAGCCTCGAGTTTTCCAAGCAGCAGGCATAAACCCTGAGAATTTAGGCTGCAAATGGCGAAGCAATCAGAAAAGTTGGATGACTACAGCGGTCTTTAAAGAATGGCTTCTTTGGTTCGATCAGAAGATGGCTGGCCGACAGGTTGCTTTATTGTGTGATAATTTCTCATCTCATCTTGCTGCGTACGAAGAGGTTAAAACACAGTTATCAAATACTTTGATTATATGGCTGCCACCCACTTCAACATCACGATTTCAACCGCTTGATCAAGGCATCATCCGAACCTGGAAAGCTTATTGGAAACGGCAATGGCTTGTTTATATGATGACTGAATATGATCGGGGCTACGATCCTATATCTACGATGAATCTTTTGCAAGCGCTCCGTTGGTCGATATCTGCATGGCATCTTGATTTGAAAGATGATACAATCCGACACTGCTTTACACGCGCGCTTTCGGATGACTCTTATCATGATACTCCTGACCGCGAGATCATACATGATTTGGCTGCTAGCTTACAGAAGCTTCAAGCCACCTCACGGATCCAAGATATCATGCATCTGGATCAGTTCCTCGACCCTTTAGAAGAACAGGTTGATGAAACAACTACCGATATTGATAATATTGTTCTAAGCCAGTATTCTGCAGCAGTCGATGACGAAGTTGAGGATGATGATGATATAGTCGAGGCTCTACCAGCCATATCATCTACCAGGGCCCTGCAGGCATTATATGACCTTCGCTTGTACGAAGAACAACAAGCTGATGCTAATCAAGCATCTTTACACTCGCTAGCAGGTCAGGAACGTGATATTCTTCGAAGAAAGGTGTTGAACGCGCAACAAAGTGATATACGTGGCTACTTTAGGTAGAATACTCGATAGAATCAAGACCTCGATATAAGGAATCGGGGAGGCGTGTCTCATATAATTGCTTATATCGGTGTTTTACTGGTAACGTACTAGAAGAGCGGGTCTCAGTCAATGCCAGCCGGATTATCTTTCGTCCCGAGCCGGTCCCGTATTCTGCCGCCTCGTTAAGTTGTCGCCTCAGGCAGCGTCTGCCGCCGCGTTCCGGTTCACGCCAAACGTGAGCAACGCTATTCTGAAGTCCTCCGTGCAGATGTGCTACGGATTACTGCCATCTCTTGGACCTCCCTAGCTTCATTATGCCGTGATCGGCCGCAAACCGATCATCCCTTGTCCCCATATCGCTCTGAATTCTCACTCCGGAATCCTGCCCCTCCGCCGCCGATCCGACCTGTCATATTGCCTATCGTGCAGATAATCGTGCAGCGACGGGAACCCCCCTCCTCCAATATGGACCCCGCCATCCTGCGCGAGGTCTCCCGCGTCGATCCTGTGGTTCCTTTCCGCGCAACCACCCATCATCTCCATCATACTTGGGCGCAGACCTTCTATTCGCGGCCCGAACTTTACGTGCGCCCGCAGTCTATCGAGGAAATTCGGAAGCTGGTCAACCTCGCTCGCCATTGTCGGCGTCGTCTGGTCACCGTGGGGAGTGGCCACTCCCCCTCCGATCTGACCTGCACCTCTGCCTGGCTGGTAAATTTGGATGATTTCAATCGGGTGTTGGAGGTTTCGCCGGAGACCGGGGTGGTGACCGTTCAGGCGGGGATTCGGTTGAGAGACTTGGGCGCACAGCTGGAGAAACATGGCTTGACATTGTCGAACTTGGGTAGTATTGATAGTCAGTCGGTCGCGGGTGTGATCTCCACGGGTACTCATGGAAGTTCTCTCCAGCATGGCTTGATCTCCGAGTGTATCTTATCGCTGACTCTCATGCTGGCTAATGGGCAGCTGGTGCGGTGCAGCGCGACCAGTAACCCGTCGCTGTTCCGGGCTGCGCTGATTTCTCTGGGGGCACTTGGTATCATTGTTGAGGTCACGCTGCAGGCGGAGCCCGCGTTCAAGGTGGCCTGGCGACAGACGCGACGCAAACTGTCGAGTGTGCTGGCCGAATGGTCATCCGGGTTGTGGACATCGCATGAATTTGTTCGGGTATGGTGGATGCCCTATGAGAAGAGTGCGGTTGTCTGGCACGCCGACAAAACCGACCTCCCGCTGCGGAACCCGCCCAAGTCCTTTTATGGGGAGACACTCGGTTACCATATCTACCATAATCTGCTGGCCCTGGCTAACTATTTCCCTCGTATCCTCCCGTGGGTGGAATGGCTGGTGTTTGGTTTGCAGTATGGTTTCAAGCCGGAAGCCATCGTGACGGAGGCAGTAGAACCAGCCCGCTCCGGTCTCCTCATGAATTGTCTGTACTCGCAGTTTGTCAACGAATGGGCACTCCCGCTTGAGAAGGGCCCCGAAGCCATCACTCGTCTCTCCGCCTGGTTGAATGGTGATCTCGAAACAGCGCGTATCCCTTTTTCTGTCGACGGCCTGTGGGTGCATTGTCCCATCGAAGTCAGAGTCGCGGACTCTACCTACAACAAGACACCCCGTCCGTTCCTAGATCCTACCTCTTCCGGCGGACCGACCCTGTATCTCAATGCAACGCTCTATCGCCCGTACCATCGGGATCCCCCCTGCACGGAACGGTATTACGAGGCATTCGAGTGGCTCATGCGCGAAATGGGCGCAAGACCGCATTGGGCTAAGAACTTCCGGACGACGAGGGAGGAGCTGAAAAATCTGTATGGAGAGGATATGGCGGAATGGTTAAAGGTGCGCCAAGATGTGGATCCTGACGGCATGTTCCTTGGTGAATGGCATTACCGAAACCTCGCCTTGCCAGGTACTGAGGACGAGTCAGGACCGGCCGTCCTTCCGCTTCTCGAGCGCGAAAAGACTCGCCGGAAGGCAGGCGTTCGGGGATCCGGTGACGGCATGGAGTGGATCGGACACAAGCAATGGCAAGGGAAGCAGGGTCGCCAGGCTGCTACTTCTGTGCCCGCGCTAGGAAATGAGAAGATCCAAGGATCATCAGATGAGGTTATTCTCAGTCCTCCCACAACAGCAACCAGTGAAGAGAGCTTTGATCTTCTGGCGGCGGGCGAGGCTAGTGTTGTCCTTCCTGAACCTAGCGCGTGAGGGAAAGAGGGAATCGCGACAAGGAGGTTTGGCCAAGTAGCAATCAAATTTACGCGCGCCTCCCACCTTTGTGGGTTATAGACCGGAATGGCCGACTCGGAGATTTCTATTGGCCGGCCAAGATTCAGGTGACCGTGTATTTAGTTGCCTCACTGCTGTGTTCTTTTCTCTCTTCATTTGTTTCCTTCTTTTATACCTTTTTTTGTTAATCCTCGGCCCTGTTGTTCAAACTCCTTCAATTATAATGTTACACCTGGTCGAGCCCGCTATGTAAGATGCTAGCTAAGCAGGTGCGTTGCGAAGCATGAATATTGCCCTGAACGCCGTCAAGCCCTCAGGCCTCGCAGAAACACATGAGGTTGGTGAAACAATGCGTGCCGCGGGGTAGTAAGATCGTCGCCACAGCTAAACACAATGAAAGACACCACGAAAGCATAGAAGGAACCATAAAATATGATATCAGATATATTTTTTGCGTACCAGATTGAAAGTTGCGGGTTCATTGACTCCATAGGCGCGTAAGTTCATGGAATCATAACAGGAGCCTACAGTTGGATATCTGGATTAGTGTGGTGCCACTTTTGTTCGATAGATTCAGTAATGGTTACCACAGGTACTCGTACTACTAGTACTGTCACTCATGAGGAAACATGATGATATACTAACTTAAGGGTCTCTCACCATTTAGAACTGGAATGCCGCGGCATCCTCAAGCCTGCCAAAATATAATGGGTACAAGCAACAGTGTTTCAATCCCTATTCATATAGACTTAACTTGCGTTTATTAACCCGAATAGCTCTAGCGCTCCTGCAATGTATGAACAGATACAATAATTATCAGCATGTCTAGCTAAAAGAGGGCGTCACCATTACTACTCCTATCATCTTGAAAGGCCCGGGCACTTGGTACACTACAGCTCCTTGCATGTTCAGCTCTCCATGCCTTAGACTCTTCAGCTCTTTCTAAGCGCCACTTCCGTAGTCTAACCTAAATTAGGCTTAGATCGTAATTTGAGTAATGTGACGGGAGGTTTTAGGCTGGACTTCGTTGAGTCTGCTAGTATGGGCCTGACGTTTGGCACGGCATACCAGTCTCTTATTGACAGGCTGGAGATTAAGCAGAACGAAAACGTTGGTATTCTGATTGTGAGTCTCACTAAATCCCTGAGCCAACGTTGTAGTGACTATTACTACCTTGGTTGGCTTATGAGCACACATCTAACTGTTTTAGATTAATGGCGGAGGTGGAGTTGGAAGCGCTGCCATCCAAATCGCCAGGAAGGTTCTGCAGCTCCCCGTGGTGATTGCAACTGCATCCCGACCTGAGACCATGGACTCATGCAGGAGAATGGGTGCCACCCATGTGGTGAACCATAGGGAAGATCTCGAATCCCAAATCAAAGCCTTGAATCTGGATGTCCCAATCAAGTACGTTCTGACCCGTCTTACTGTCGTGGCATGCGCTTAAAGTGCTGACACTAATGAACTCAGATACGTTTATGTGGTCGCAAGGACGGAGCAATATATCCACGTCCTAGGCAAGATCTGTGCACCCTTCGCCAAAGTTTGCTCCATCGTGCAAGCCAAGTTCGATCTCTACGGGACGGAGTTCATGTCGAAGTCCATGACCTTCTCTTGGAACTGGCTGGGCACGGCAGCTTATCATCGTACAAATTTGGAGAACTATCAACGAGCTTTCGAGGCGTTGGCCCATTACGTAGACGAGGGGAAGCTGGTACCTAACCTTAATAAGCGTCTCAAGTTGAATGTTGCTGGATTGAAGGAAGCTCATCGGTTGATCGAGTCTGCGACCACCGTGGGAAAGATTGCTCTTGGGGTGGATGAACCTGGCGAGGCGCTCCATTTTCCTGAAAAGGGATTGCTCCCCATAACAAACTTCCACTGATGACAACGTTATGTGTGGGTGGATTGATATTTATGAGATTCAGTCAAAATGTATTCAATAAGACTTTATTGTGTATACATGCTGCTTGACAAAAATTCTCGAGTCATCTGATGGACTACAAACAAATCGGTGATTGATCATACCACCACTCTTTACTTCAGTGTTTGTCCAATCAGTTCGACTAAGAAACTGCCATTTCCCCAGAATCAGTTCATCCAGATTGTTGGTAATATAGGCGCTGAGGTGGCATCCTATTGATATAGCTCTCGGATTACCTGATACAGGTCAGGCAGGCATCACGAAGCTAGTACCAACTGTCTCCCAAGTATGTATTCAACTCGAAATGAAGATACTTTGGGTTTCCTCTTTCTCTGTCTTTTGTTGTATCCTTACGGATATATACTGTTCGTGCTTATGAGCAGGTGCGCGGTTCGTACTAATGTTGTGGTTGTTAGGAGAATCCTGTTAAGGCTTCATAGGCTTGCGTTTGAAGGACTATCTCACTGGCTCCATCCACTCTTGGTGGTTGTTCCTGGTAATTATATTCTTTTCACCACGGCATCTCAGATGGCTGCGTGGAAAGGCCAGAGAGCCCAATTAGATAGTATATAATAATAGTATAGACTGTATAGGACCTCTTCATATTTATGGTGTGAGGTAGAACTGTCAGGTATAGCCACTCTAATATTTAGTACTATATAACGAGTAGTTGTAACATTAAGGAGAAAAGAAAGAAGTATGAAAAATATATATATAGTTATCTAAACATAAAAAGTGACGCTACATGTGCAAATAGAACAAGAATGGAGTGTCTGTTTCTCAAATCAGTCTTTAACTACGAGCCTCTGCTCCTCATACTCAACGATCAGAGTAAAGATATCGTTGCCGTTAACAGTGGCTGCATAGTAACATCACGCGGGGCTGAGGCTCTGGAGGCTTCAAATTATACAGCGAACAGTCCATCCATGTATACTTCTGTGCGACTTCGTTCCACCGGTAATGGATCGGAAGGACTCACTCAAAGACGGGACCGCGATACTTGTATACATACACTATCTCAAACAGCACAAAGGCGTAACAGGATAATAGATTGGATTTTGACAGCCTTATATCATAGTACTACCCACGGATCTAAGCTGCGACCACCACTACCATAACACAAAAGATTTCGCGCCCATGACCCCATGCCAGGCATACTCATTAAGGAAGCAGGCAGTGGTCATTGTGTCCAGCACCTGCATTTACACATCCAAGACCGCAAAAGTTCGCAACGGTGATTGATCCACCACTTCCACATTGAAATAGGTACCCGTATGGTATTTCTAATGCTCCAGTTGCAGAGCCGAGGTCACTCATGTCGGAGGCGGAGATGGCCTGCGGTATAAGAGTGGAATATTTGGCATAATATAGTAAATTGAGCAATAACCTAGCAGCCATATAAAAATAGTATTATAATAAACCGGGTAGCCATACCAATGTCTTCCAAAACAGACTGACAGTACATCATGCCTTCAGTGCAGTCTGTAGCCTGTACCGAGACTGCCAGGCCTAGGACGCTGGCGACGAGGGTGTGGAGGAGCTTCATTTTTGTTGGAAAAATTTGAGAGTCGGCTTTCTTGGGAAGATAACCTTGAAGAGGAAATGAGTAGAGGACTTATTGAGATGGCATGTTGAGTTAGGAGCAGTTCGGGGGAGCTGGGGGCTATATATAGCTTAGATCTGGAGAAGGGGTTTTGTGTACCTTGGGCATGTGAGTGCTGAATTGGATGTCATCTTTCTCAATCCGATACTACATCGTGCAGGACCAAAATATTGTGGCAAATTCTGATGCAGCTCGGATCACAGTCTTGCATAACTTAGGAGGGGCATGCTTCGCCACAGTCATGCCGTTCACTGTTCACTGTTCAAATGCCGATTGTGGTTTTACCTGTCCAGAAGTTCGTCTAAATGGTCAAAAAGCTATTGCCAGATTAGTGTCTACTAGAGGAAGGTCTTTCCCATTGACGAGGAGAGCTCTTTCAGAGTCTTGTTCAAAAAGCCTGTTTTGTATAGTTCATCAACAGTCAAAGCCTGAGAATGATGGTAGCGACGGACCACTTCTGCTATGGTCAAGGGCGATACCGGCACTTAGCAAGAGCATCACCATGGATTGGAAATAGGTCTGAAGGCCCACCACTGAGCTTACATTAGAACTATGCAAAGTCTACTCCCGTGTGACCAACGGCCAAATAGATTAGGGGGACATGGTGATGTGGAATAGGCGTCAGACTGTTGAAGTAAGATTCGTTGTTATCAGCAGCCCAGTTGGACTAAAATTTTCACGGTCTGTGGCGGGCAGCGTTGATAATGGAATCTGATCGTGCTTGTCAGCCTGACGCTATCAGTCAAACTTATGCTGTACTCACTATCACTAGCCTTCCACGACCTTCACCGACAGAATATAAGGATCGTCGGAGTTGTAGCTGACTGTATGCACGCCAGGAAGGAAAACAGTAAGAGAGTATCGGTCGGTGGCATCGATGAAGTAATATGTACTCCCAAAAGTTCCTTGCACTTCGCTCACAACAATATCGAGTTGGTACTTGTAGATCAAGCCATCAACATCAAAGAGTTTGTATTGGCTGATACCTGTTTCCTTCTCGAAGTCCGAATCAGTTTGCTTCCACGTAGCATCGCCCACCGGCCAGCCAGCATCATATGTGCCCGATCGGGCAGCACATACCAGTTGGAAGAGCCCGAGAAAGAGGAAGAAAAGATAATTCATTGTTTTGATTGCGGGGGGTATACTCAATGGGGAGATGAGATTGTGAGGGTGGAAGGAAGAACGAGCACACCTTCTATCCTTAAATACGCCAGCACTTGCATACTTCGGTGCCATGGTATATTGCAGCACGGGCGGTTTACTGGTCACAGAAGGCTCAGATGTACATACATACTCTGTATGTATACGGTCTGGATTTGCTTCTCTCATGATCGCAATACAACAGAGTATTGTCTCTGCTCCCTGGACCTATCGCCCTACGCGCCAAGAGATGTTGCGTGATTCGGCTGAAGGGTGGAAACCCGCGTACGGCTGAGCCGTCGAGGTCGACTTCAAGTAGAGGCGGGGTTTCGGAAGATGCTTGAATGCATGACAGGGAATAGAAGGGAGTGTGATATTGGTTGCTTTCAGCTTCCCAGCTTTGATCAGCGATTGCTGATGCATCTCACTACCAGTTGATGAATCAATGGGGCTGGGAACATTCCTTCAGAGCCATATAATCCTATTGGCTATGATTGAGTGGGACTAGGTTACATTGCATGCTAGCGGTGGTCTTGCTACATAAATATACATGCTAAGGACTGCCGATATTGCTCTCTGTTCCAACCAAATCCCGAATGTCATCTGATTGGATTGCTCTGCCGGAGACTTTCTAAGCCAGATAGATCTGATGGTCAACAAATCAGAGCATGTAACCCATGAATTTGAGGATGTCTGTGCCCTGAACAGGGAAGATAATGACTGACTGATTAATATAATGACTAGCCAGACTATTACACAAAGCATTGTTCCAGTTGCACATGGATTAATTCTTTCCCTGCCATGACTACTACTAGCCACCGTACTGCATCGGAAGGAGAAAGGCATCGGCACTGAAGTAGCCTATATGATGGAAAATATTCCTAAAGATCGTGCGTGAAGCTGACGGACGTAACCCGCGGTTAGTTTCTCATACAAAGCAGTCAGTCCCAAGACGGTGACGGAAAATAGATCGGATTGGTGGATTTCAATGCGCAGGTCACTAATATGTCTATACCCACAATTGCAATGAAGCGCACATCGAGCTGAAGGCTGCAGTCCATTTTAAGTGTAAACTCATATGCCCTTGGAAGAGCTAATTCGTCGAAGATGGGACTTACTATAGCTAGCACCATGCGGAGGTTACCGACAGTCCAAGTATTTAAGTGATGAGCTCAGCTGAATCACCAACCGAGATAATATCAGAGAGCCACGGGCAAAAGACAAAGGAGTAACCGAATATCGCGGAGAACGCTCTCGTAGCAATCAGTGCTATGGAGCTGCTGAATTAATTATATACGAGGTCTTGTTATGGTTACCGCACAGGGCTTACCTCTGTAATGTAGTTTTGTCTGAACTCATTTGTTCAGCTGCGGATGAGCTGAGGATAATTTACTATGTAGTCAGTCATCGATGTCTCTGTTCACCATACATAGAGGGTTGTCCGACAAAGATGGTGGGATTTTTTCCTAAAACTGAATGAAGTGCCCGACATCGTGGACTGACATAGGAAATATCCCCGTCCTCAAGAAGTTGACTGATTACCCGAGACCGGTTAAAGTCAACGAACTATTCAGAATGGAAGTAAATCGTTTCCTATAACAGCTGCACCTATTTATCTTATAAATAATACATCTGCTATCTATGTATATGTGCAGCGCCCGGGATCATCGACCAGCGAGATAACTGATTACAGTACGAGGATACTGTCCACACATTACGAGAAAATTCTTTTTCAGATTCTTTGGCTTCACCTGAATGACGCCATTGCTGAATGCTCAACCTAACAAGCGCTTAACCGGTCTCTTAGTTCTGGGATAGTTAACTCTGCAACCTCATTTTCAGTGGACCAGTAGGCTCCTCGAGGTTCACCAAATATATTCGGGATAACTAGCTGACCTACCATTTGACCCACCATTACCTGGCCCCTCATCGATCCAATTCAGCTTGGTGGTCGAGGCAGCTTCAATACCTCGGCCCATGGGAAGAACGCCATCGCATGCCCCCATCCCTGGTTATTACGGTCGTAAACGCACGCCATCCGTGTTTAGCATCTTGTCGGACCATGTACGTGAGGGGTGTTTTTTTCCCTTATACGAATATCTATCTGATCAACTAGATTTCCAAGATGATGAACTAGTCACCTGGAGGATGAACAGCTGACAATCTCCAGGCTTCCTTATCTATCTGATTGAATGGAAGGTGACTCTGCCGTATGAACATGAAAATATACTATAGCCTACAAATACGATAGAATATACTAATGAATCAAGATATCTTTACATTAGCATTATATCCGGTAGTTTGAGATATGTTTAACTGATAGTATTAATACAAATAAAATGTGAAATAGCTATACTAACCTGTTAATTTCTGGTTTAAAAAACACCTTTAGTGCTTGACATATAAACATAATCTTAGTGCACTAAACACTAGACCAGAAACGATGTATCGCGTCTAGTCCTCCAGGCGACGGAGAGATATGTGTCCCAACATATAATAATAGAAATATATGATAACCTGTATTGTTTGATGTTTCCGACTCTAACACTAGTCAGAAAATATTAAGTTTTCAAATAATAAAGTAAACTTAATGTCTTCCTAATCAATATAGTAGACAGCACGTACGTAGAGATATATAGAGATAAAAAACTAGAAGTCAATCCAAATAAACGCTTAGATATATACCATTGAACAACATTCCGCCGGTGACAACATTATGTAAGGGTTGATTGTACTTATGGATTTCAGTCAAAATGCATTGGATAATTCCTTATTGCCTATACTTCTTGCTTGATATTGACACCGGGGACGGGTTCGAGCAGAACAGCAAGGGACAGGTTGAGTTCCTGGAAAAGTGATTTGGCTCTTAGGCCACGACAGCTGCAACAAGCTCCAGATTGAACTCTCAATGATCTTCCTGGATAGAGAAAATGTGACCCAACTTTGACATCCTTTTTGTTGCAAATAGTGCTTTCTCGCATTTGGAGAGTCCACATCGTCCATAATTTACCGTCGTCTATGACTCATCGTATGGCATTTGGAAGTTGCGACATACTTGACAAGATACCAGGCCCGACACAAATGATAATGATTCGAGAGATAAAATTACTATTGACAGCTCGGGATGCCCAATTTTCAATTCCATATCATTACATCAAGGCTGCGAAAGTCAATCTATGCTACACAGTACATAGACGTGCATTATGACTTGTTGGTAACAGCAAATAGCAATATTCGTAGATATTTCATCAGGAATATATAGGAATACGTTCCGGTTATATTGAGCTCATAGTAAATCATGGCGGAGTGAACCAACCATTAGTTACTCAGTCAACATTGAGGCCATATATAGAGCTATTTCTTCACAACCATTGCACCTCCCCATAGCGAGCCGACATTCAATCGAGTAGGATGCAGTTCCAACATTCGGGAATACAATTCCTCGGGAGAGGACGTTTGACCATCCAGTCGCGTGAAGTCATTCAAGTAATCCTTGGTCGCTTGGACGGCATCGGGAGAATATCCCTTGGTTGGATCACTATGACCACCAACCACAATTTTTGGTCCAAGGGTCAAGATCTTGTCGAGCGCTGCCACCCATCGCGATCTGGCCTCCTGGGACTTTGATTCTCCAAGGAACGGGTGCGTGTTGTTGTAGACCGCGTCTCCCGCGACTACCAAGCCAATTGTAGGCACCCAGAGAGCCGTTGTATCATCGGTGTCTGTATGGCCCAGTCTAACTACTTCCAATCGCTCGTTTTCCAACATGATGTGGTCTTTCTCAAGAGGTGTAGCCATCACGAGCTTTTCTGGGATCTCCCCAGGAAAGAGCTTTCTCCAAAAGCCGTCCATGCCTTCTGGGTTTATGGCTTCGACCATCCGAGAAACAGTCTCGCGCGTAGCCAAGACTTTTGCCTCTGGAAATTTCTCGAGGAGGGCACCGGTGCCATAGAAATGATCGCCGTGGGCATGGGAGATATAAATAGTCGTGAGGTTTTTTCCCGTACCTACCACCCAGTCCACCAAGTCCTTCGCAGCAGCCTTGGTTAACTGGGTATCGACCAGCACTGCGTCCCTTTGACCAAATATTAAGGTCGAAGTGGTCGGCACCCACTTGAGATGATCGCGACCGGCTGGTGTGGACCGGTTCACGCCGGGACGTGTGCTGCTGAAGACTTTGTAGTTGAGACTCATATTGTCAACGATCGATGAAGTCAACTTGAATAGATGGATGAAATAAAATATGGCACATATAATCCATTGATGTATCCTTAACTCTTTATATCAATGCTGGGTATAGTTCAATAGAACTGTGACCCAAACATTGGTAAGCAACAGAGGTGGCGAAGGATTACTGATCATTGGCCTCGGCAACTCAACAGTCCGTTTCTTGACCGATCGTAATTTGCGTTGTTAACAAATCAAAGAAATGCTCGGCTTTATAATAGTTATAATCGATAGATAGGTAAGATTCCAACTTGCATCTCGGCAGTAGTACAATCAATGAGCTCCGGCTGCTATATACAAGTAGACCCGCAACATCTTGGTGGCTGGAAATAATACCGAAGAGCCCACTGTTAGCATTCGGCTCAGTTGGGTCTGCTATCAATACGCCGAAATCTGGAAGGATGAACCAAGAAAAACTAAGACGATTATATTGAAAGTCTTATGCTCCCAAACAAAAAAGAAAAAATACATACAACAGAAGGGATTCGCTGGTGGTCACCCACCCAACTACTAACCTCCCGGCGTGTGGCTTGAGTACGGCTGAGCGGACGGGAAGCCCTATTTTCCACACCCTGTGGTCGTATGTACTCAATCTTTGTAACCATGGGCTCATATAGCATGTATACTAGCCAAAGCATTCAAGGGGACGGAGTGTATGTAGTAGAGTGCTCTTTTCGGTGCCTCTTTCCATCTTGGAGAAATGTTGACCTTTTGCACTGTCACCTTTAAGGACCCGCCTCTCGCCTCCACCATCCCAGTTATACTAACATCATTGTAGATGTCTTTGTTAATCACCGTACAATTTCAAACTAAGCCATTATGATAAAGCGAAAATACAGCACTTACTACTTCGATCATTCTGATGCGGCATTGTTTCGGCGGTTTTCTGATATAGCACGTACAAAATGTCCTACCGGAGACTTCAATATAACGAGGCAGGTTGGTTGACTGAATCTTATCACCACATCCTCCTGAACGCAAGGAATGAGAAATAGAGAGAAACAAAGGAAGCTATGTGCAGCTGGTCAAGTGCACAAAGATGTGGAAGATATGAGCTAATTCCCGACTAACTATGTAATAGCCTTTGAGGAACATACGAGCTAGGCTAGGAAGTGCGGCTAAATTGTTGAAAGTCCTAGGTACCTCTAACAGCTCCTAGATTGGCAACCATCCGAACAATCGAAACATGAATTCATTCCTCATCAGTTGTATGCTCCCACACCTCTTCCTCCTTGACAGGTTTCTTCTCTGGATCTCGCCACTGGTAGCAAACGATTTTCTTGAAATCAGGCTGGCAATGATCCCATATAGCTGCATGACCTCGCGTACGCATAGAAATGCTGTGCCCCGAGAAATCGATGTAGTCAACTCCATGAATGTCATGGTAGAGATAATGGAGATAGTCGGTCAGTTCTTGAGAGAGTTCGCATCGTTTCTCATCAGCAAAGAAAGATACCAATTCGTCGCCAATTGGCTGGTTCAGATCAACCATTTCATATACCATGTATAGGTGCTTGAGCAACATCCTCTGATATCGCTGTTGTCGAGATGGTCGATCGAGAAGTGAAAGACTCCAAAATTGGTAGTAGCTTCGAGTGAACCGATGACGTTCTGACGGAAGTAAATGCAACGGACGTGGTTTTCCTCCGTAGAATTCGTCATCGATGCTCGTGAGAGGGACTGTATAATATATAATTTAGCAAATATCTATTTATGTGACTGCTTACTGATCTGTCTACTCACTCCGAATGTTTGGGGTAATATCACGATCAAACACCTCGATTGCTTTCTCCACCATACGAGAGTTGCGTCTCAATCGTAAAAGATCCCGAATAGTCACTGAAGAAGAATAAAGTGCCAGGCCTCCTTGATCTGCTAGTAGTACTCTTGCATAGCGCTCACATGGGATCTTTCTGCGTAGGCGTTTGTAAATGGTAGGCGTATGTTCACTCAAGACCTGGCGCAGCCGACGGCAAGTCGCGGCCAAGTGGAGCGCATCCGGGAGAGAAAGTTCCCCGAATATGTTGATGATGACCTCGGTAGGAATGGGGTTTGGTCCTGAGAATGTATGCATGATGAGCGTGGTGAGTGATTTCTCAAATATGGTGACTCGCCGAGGAATGAATCATGCACTTATCTTGCGTCTGTTTGCTTCTTAGACAGTCTGAGATCATGTGATCGGACTGATGTAAACCTGCGACAACTGCTTCAGACTGCAACAATTTGGTCTTTCACAACGCTTTCCCATATTCAGACTTGAGCCAAGGCCTTTGTCGCACTAGTCTCAGGGCAGATGTGGGGGCTAACTAATAGGACTCCTGCCAGGGCGGGGTCTCAGTTGCGACGGGGTCAGAAATTAGTGCAACAGTATCAGAGAAATCCTGACGGAGTATAAGCTCAAAAAAAAAAAATCCTGACTCAGACTCGGTTTTTCTGAACCCGTACCAGCTTTTCTAAACCAGAATTAGATATACCTTTATTTATGTGAAAGGAGATCACGTGATCTCGGACCTAGCCACCTAGTCACCTCGCGTAGTTAGCTAGCCTACACATATACACAATATCATCCATATTGCTGTCACAGGTTATGAGCCCTCGCGGCAACGAATCATCGAATATTCGTCTTCCCTATCGTTTTTCATCATTTTTACGCGTTATCCATCGAATAGCGTCCTCTTCAAGGCCTTTTACGCCTCAAATCGCTACTATACGCGGTTTCGCGGGTAGGAAAGCCTCCGCGGCGATCTAGCCGGCTTGGCATCCAGGCTTGGCACCTACCGACCAACCAGACCTCCCACCACGCGAGCGGCGTGGCCGAACGCTTACAATGACGCCGTCCAAAGACCCGTTCGATATCGACGTCTCTAAAGCTGTTCCTAAGCTTAAAGGCCAGGCTAACTGGTTAACATGGCAGAGGAACCTACGAAACTACCTACACTCGCGTAATCCGGACGCGTGGGACCTGCTCCAGGGCAAATATACTCTTCCAGAAGAACCAGTTCTTTATCCCGAGGATGAAGACAAAAACATGCATATACTGGCTGTTCGTGCCGGTGATGGCGGCGTTCTACCCACTGAACAAGAACTGCAACGCAGCATCGAGCAGGCCAAATAACGCAACTGCACTTTGCTCACCACATACAACTCCGACTGTAAGAAGTGGAAGCAGTTGAATTACTCTATACTCATAATTCTCGGTACTACGTGCGAAGCCAGTCCCGCGGCGCGTTTCCAGAACTGCGACTCCGCGCTTGAAGCATATGTCCTTCTCCAGGAAGCATATGAGACCTCTAACTTTACTACAATTATTCGTCTATATAATAAATGGGCATCTATTCACTACAACAGCACAAGCAGTCAAGAGACCTTTTTTACATGCTACGCGGACGCCCTCAACGAGCTTCGCGGGACTAAGATCATTAATAATCATACTAAACTTCTGCATTTCTTTATAGTAATTCAGGATATGCCTGCCTTGCAGCCATTCATCTTAAATCAGTACATGACACTGACAGAAAACACGATTCCATCATCTGTATATACTCAATTCACGCAGTTCAAGTATACACGCAAGAATCAGTTCTCTCAGCTAACTACACACGCGGTTGATGACAAGCCCCAGAGCAACATCAATAATACCAATAATAACACCCGAGGCAGCGATCGCGGCGGTCGCGGCCGCGGACGCAGGCGTGGCCGTGGACACGGTAATGCCCGGGATCGTGGTAGAGGTCAAACAAATACCTCCGTACAATATAAAAGAGAGCAACTTGATGCCGCTGATAAGAATACTATATGGTATACCTTCCATGAACGTTACGGAAATCACTTTCCCAGCAAATGCTCATTGAACCCGAACAAGAAAACGACTACAAACACTCAAGTTAACACAGTAACTACACCTACTCCGTCCGCACCACCGTCCGGAACACCCTCAGCCAACGCGATCAACATCGATTTCGACTCTCTCAATGCCTACGCTGTATCAATTCACTTCAATGCTGCTACCGTGGCTCAAGAAGACCAACACCCGAACCACTCGCATGATTGGATGCTCAATTCTAGGACTGTTAAAATAATAACTTACTTTAAGCATCACTTCACATCCTTTACTCCCTGCGTACGCACAGCCAAAACCGCTACTGACGAAGCCTTTCAGATTGTTGGCTACGGCACTGTTTCAATTAAATTGGCGGATGAGCAGAACAGACCTTGTGGACTTTTAGAAATCAACCGCACTTAGTACGCACCGGCGCTCTCACATAATCTCATTTCGTGTAAGCAGCTGGCGCGCCAGGGTGTTCGTACACATATCAAGACTAAAGAGACCACTATTCTTATTCAACACGGCAAGCAGATTAACTTCGCTACTGCTAAAGATACTCAATACTTTCTACACATAACCGGTACCACAAGCCGCAAGGCAATTCAGGATCTGTATCTCTACAGTGCCCTGACACGCTCGCCATCCTCCGACCTCACTATCAATACTATCAAAAAGACGGTTTCTCCGCCGATTTCAATCTATCTCGCGCACCGTCGTACGGCTCATGCCTCCGAACGAAAGATCCGTGACTCCGTGAAGCATGTTGTTGGTTTTAATATCAAGAAAAACATCCTACCAGCGCCCTGCGAGCCCTGTCTCCGTGAAAAGGATCAAGCACTACCTGTCTCCCACACTAAGCCTCGCGATTTTAGTCTACGCGTTAGAGATCTTATTCATACAGATGTCTGTGGACCACTACCTACACGCGGCCAGACCGGCGCATATTACTTCGTCATTTTTACTGACCATGCCTCCCGATACTGCTGGGTGTTCCTACTCAAGGAACGCAGCGAGGTGCGTAATAAGTTTATTACTCTATAAAACTATCTCAAACGCCAGCTAAATATCAATATTAAACGCGTTTATAGTGACAACGCGCCTGAATACTAACCGCTTGCGTCCTACTATCAAGAACAAGGCATCGTCTGGAATCCTGCTCCGCGCTACCGCTTGAATCTCAATCCAATTACCGAGATCAAGAACCGTCACCTAGTCAAACCCTATATATCAGTCATGGCGGACAACCAGTTGCCCCGTTTTCTGTGGGACCATATCATTCTCGCAGTCAACTACATACAGAATAGACTCATACACAGTGCCATCGGGAAGACTCCCTATGAAGCCCTATACAGCATGCAACCAGATATCTCACGGTAAAAGACCCTTGGCTGCCGCTGCTGGCATCTTACTCCCAAAAAAACTCGTGATAAACTAGAAGATCACATACAGAAAGGCCGCTTTGTCAGCTACTCTGAGTCAGTCTACAAGATCTACAATATTCGAACTTGTCAGATTATATATGCTCGTGATGTTATCTTCAACGAAGAACCTGTCTCACAATTACCGTCCGCGACGTCTACATACAATCTTGATTCCGCACGCCACGGCGAAGCTAATACAGAAGCTCCAGTCCAGAAAGATCCTCGTCGCTGGTCACCGTTTGATATACCTTCTCAACATCAGCAGCCTGTCCCTGACTCTTTTCCTAGTTATCCTGCCGCGGACGAGCAAGATAGCAGCGAGGAGCCGGACTGGCTACTAGAATACAAACAGACTGGTATACTCCCACCTTTGCCTGCAATCAATAACACCGTCCATAACGCCACGCCTGAACCGGAAATTGTCGCCGAAGATAATAAGTCTGAAGACCAGCTAGTTGTCGCGGATTCTCCGGCTACCAGTACCTCTCGTGCGGAACCCGTTACTTCCAGCATAGAACCTATACCGGTATCTGACCAGCCACTAGGTCATCCTACACGCACTCGCAAGCCCTCGCGCGCGCTCCTCAAGTCCCTGGAGTCACACACTATTAGTATAAACAATGCCCCGGACTTGAATACCGACGCCTTTTATAAATTACTCATTGACAACCATCTCACTAATGCTCTGTTCCTGGAAACTGCGGCTATACAGCCTCCCGCCAGCCCGCAGGCTGGGGGGGCCACCTCCACCAAGGAACCAACATCTCAAAATACCGGCTACACTTCTACCTCATACGCTGACGCTATGGCCTGCGCTGAAGCATCCAAATGGCGCGAAGCAGTACACCACGAGATACAGGAACAGATCAAACAAGGCATCTTCCGTGTGGTTCCACGTCCCCGTAATACGCGTCTTCTTCCGCTCAAATGGATATTTAAAATTAAGTATAACAGCACTTACAAGGCCCACCTTGTTGTCAAAGACTTCCGGCAGCGTGCTGGCAAAGACTATCAGATTGGAGAAATATACGCGGCCGTCGCCAAGAGCGTCAGCTTCAAGGCTTTTATTGCCCTGGCTGCTAAGCTTCATTAGATCTTATATCACCTTGACGTCGTCACAGCATTCCTCAACGCTGAACTACACGAATCAATACACATCGAGCTGCCGGACGGCTTCCAGAAAAACAGCATATGCGGCGAACTCCTCAAGTCACTATATAGCTTGAAACAGGCGCCACGCGAGTAGTATAACATGCTTCATGACTTCCTAGTGGCTAACGGCTTTAAGTACTTACATACAGATCATTCCGTGTTCGCGGGAAAGGACCTTTTCATACTTGTTTACGTCGACGATATCCTTCTACTCGCGCCGGACGGCACTGTGATTAACGCCTTTAGAACACTGCTCGCTAAGCTTGTTAAGTTCACTGATAACGGCCTCTGCACCCGCTTCCTAGGTGTTGACATTATACGAACAGATGAAGGCATTTATCTCTCGCAGAAATCATACATACAAGACTGTCTAAAGCGCTTTGGTCTCTCTACATGCAAGACGTCTCCCATACCATACAACTCTAAGAATCCTTTGTCAAAGCACAACGGAACAGCGGACCCTGATGACATCAAAGCATATCAAAAACGCAATGACGCGCTCATCTGGATCATGGTTAACACACGTCCTGATATTGCATACACAACAAGCAAGCTATCGTCCTTTACAAGCAACCCCGCCAAGCCACATCTTCAGACAATGAACCTCGTCTGGCGTTATCTCACTGGCTCCCTCAACCGCTGCCCCTTCTACCGTCGTGGCGGACCTGGCCTCGTTGGCTTTTATAATACTGATTGGGCCAGCCCCCACTCCCTTAACGCGACGTCGACCTCCGGCTACATATTCCAACTCGCTGGGGGGCCCATTTCATGGAGTTCAAAGAAACAGACTGCTATCGCACTATCTTCAACCGAAAGCGAGTATATCGCGCAAGCAGTGGCGACACAGGAGTTAATCTGGCTCCAACTACTGTTCACTGAGCTGGACATTCAACGCTTCAAAGCTACATCTGTTTTGATGAGCCGTCCTACTGTAATTCATGCAGACAACCAGTCCGCTATCGCTCTGACTAAGAATCCTGAGTTCCACGCCCGCACGAAGCACGTCTCCATCAAATGGCACTTCATACGTCGTGAAGTACGCGCTAAAAACGTCGAATTCGTCTATATCAGCACGACTGAACAAGCGGCTGACGGCCTCACTAAGCCGCTCGAACGTCTCGCCTACTCCCGCTTTATCTGGATCATGTTTGAAATCTCATCTAATATTTCCGTATCTACATGTCTTTTACTTCCTGTCTAGGAAACGTGAACAACCTCACGTTTTCCCTCTTTTGTACGTAACGTTGCTGACTACGTCCTCGCTCATGGGGTGTGAAATGAGATCACGTGATCTCGGACCTACGCCACCTAGTCACCTCGCGTAGTTAGCTAGCTAGCCTACACATATACACAATATCATCCATATTGCTGTCACAGGCGCGGCCGCGGTGTGCCTGGACCCCCTACTAACCCGGCAAGCCTATCTCGGCACGCAGACCGAATTCAACGTACCGATCGCGGAGATGGCCGGTCTACTGCTGGCTCTGCGGCTAGCCAGGGACCTCTTGGCAGCGGATGCGACCCGGATTATCTGTTGGTCCGGCCCGGCCCCTACTATACGGAGTATAGAAATGCGTAATCCAAACTTGCAAGGCACTGTACAAAGCAACAGCACCGATTCTGACGCTGAACAGGTATTAACCTATTGTCAGTCAAACAATCAAGCAAGGCCTTTTGGGTTAAATCAGAGACAAATTCTCTGCTAATATGATATTCCTAGCACTAGTACAGACAACCAGAAATTGTCTAGTCTAAGTCAAAAACAGAGAATATCCAGGCTTACAAAATGCTTCCACAGAAGGACGAAACAACGAACGCCACAATAATCAACTAACCGATAGACTTACACCACTGTACCTGCAGCGCGCAATGTATCCATTTAGTCGAAGAGCTTTGTCATGAACTGATGAGCTAGCTCAACACCCGCACTGTTTGACATATTAGCAACGACAGCCCCAGAGGATGTCAGGGTATAATAACATACAAAGTTGCGGCATTGGCAGGAACAGCTCTTGCCAAAGCAGGACCAAATCCGGGAAAGAAAGCCTTGAAGCCACCGTTGGCGTAAACGGTGCGAATCGTGCCGCCGATCGTGGGACGACCAGGCGCGCTCTGCAAACGGGACTTGATGGTATCAACGGGGAAGACAGGAATCCACATGGCAATACCAGCAGCACCACCGGCAGCCAGGACGGCTGGCATGGATAGCTCGCCGGTGACATTGCCTTGCGCATCCTTGGGAGTCAAAGTGCGCTTGATGTATTCGTAGGCGGCGAAGTACGCAGCAGAGCCAGGGCCGTCACGAGCGAGGGTCATTGCACTGCCACGGAACACACTGCGAATACCACCCTCCTGGTATAGCTGCCGAACCACATCCAGACCGCCAGAGTATTTGGGCTTCTGGCCCGGGGGCGGGGGGTTCTGACCCTGGATCTGAAGGAGCACTTTGACGCGCTCGAAGGGTGCCGTGATCAAGGTCATGGGAATGGCGGAGAAGAAACCAGCAGCTGAAATCTGGCCAATGGTGTATTGAGGGGTGTTGTTCTCCACGCGAACTTCAGATATTTTGCCGACGAGCGTTTTACCGACATCATAACCCTATCAGCTGTGAGCCATGTGCGCCAAGGGAGTTACATTTCGCAAATCCGTAGACATACCCAGAAACTGACAGCGACTGGAGTACACGCGCGTTGTTAGTATTGCGAAGGTCAAAAAGAGGAGAGAAGCTTACACATTGGCGTGACTCCCACCAGGGGAGCAGAGACACCTGCATATAGTCCCTTTTCCGATCAGCAACTGCGCCAACGCTAACTATAAAGATAACCTACTCGAGCGAGACCCTCCCGGGCCACAGTCCTCTTCACGACATCGATGGCACCAGAGTAAACGCCCTTCTCTGCAGTCTGCAGGCGCACCTTCACCAGATCGAAAGGATGTCCGACAACAACGGCGCACACACCACCGGCAGCCCCAGCAGCGAGTGAGCGAATCTGAGTAATAGTCTGATTGATGGGCTTAGGCTCCGGAGCTCTGATTTCCTCTGGAATTGATTCAGCGGCGGAGGGAGAAGCGGTCATGGTGGCGCGGATGAAGTGCAAGGAGCGGAGAAAAGGAGCGGGGAGAATAAGCGGGGAGAGTGGAGTAGAAGTCGTGTTCTCTTGAACGCTTTGACAGAATATGCAAGAAGCGGCGACTTTGAGAAGTGAAGGTAAGGTAGTTACGGAGAGGATAGATAAAAGAAATACGTATCCGGATTGAAGGCAGAAGGGGAAGAAAAGGAAGAAAGCTGGCTTTCTTTGCGACGGTCACGCTCCATCCGGCCGGCCAGCAAGGCAATGAGTACCCCGGACCTCGGCTCGGCGCGGATTAAGCAGTTAATCCGTTTCAAGCATTCCAGCTTCATGGATAGGGTACCTTAAGTTTGGCTGGGCACCCAGAGATAAGTGCGGCAGTGTCAGATCGGAGCTGGAAAAACTGATCGGATATTCAGAGAAATCCTTGATGCAGGATGAAGCTTATGCACGTGATAATTTTGAAGCTGATACTGAGCTCAAACATGTGACTATTCCTGATACTACACCAACTCTGCACGTGATACAAAATATTACCACAAAAAAAAAAAAAAAAAAAAAAAAAAAAAAAAAAAAAAAAAAAGAAAAAAAAAAATAAAAAAAAAAAAAAAAAAAAAAAAAAAAAAAAAAAAAAAAAAAAAAAAAAAAAAAAAAAAAATGAAAAAAGGGAAAAAAGGGAAAAAAAGGGGGAAAGAACAAAAGGTGCGCCCTCAGGGCATTGGGCATGGACGCTGAGGATGGTGAACACGCTAAGTAGAAGGACCCCTACACGTCCCGTTAATGTCAGCGACGAAGGACACGCATATTAAAGAGGAACAAACATGTAGGAAGCAAGGTATGGACGAAGACTAGGGGTGCTGATGAATCGCAGACAACTAGTCAGCCAATTGTGGCATTTGTTAGTATATTTACATTATCTAATGACCTTGCTTTGCTTTCGTTGTATATTCGGCTGTGTGTAGCTGCGGCGACGACCTTCCTGCGTCGCAGCGTGCATTATGCATAGGCTTCAAGTGTTTTGGATGGCTTTCAGGGCCATATTCTTTTGCTTCAGACTGTAAAGCACCTACATAGCTGGCAACTCACCTAGCTGGATCAAGTAATAGGATAAAAATTGAATTGGTTGCAGTTGAATTGGACTAAGGGTGGCTCCTCTACGCCACATAGTATCATTAATAGTACATAGATAGATGAAAAATAAACGAAACTCGATATCGAAACGTAAAATCAAATACAAGATATTCAAATATGAAATAGCATGTGCTGGTTTCGATCCAGGGGCACGAGTACTAGTACTACTTACTACGAGTAGACAGAGCCACTTCCTTCTCTTGGCAGCGTTTCATTGGGTCTTAAAATCGAGCTTACTGTGAAAGTCCAGAAACTCATACTAGTATCTACACTGTAGAGATTCCAGCCACTTCAGTATATATCTTGGCAGCGGCTGTTCATTTACGTCTAGTAGTATTAGGTTTCTTTTACTTGATTCTTTCCTATTCCTCTGTTCTTGCTCATTAACGCTTCTTAACATCTCAGCTCCTTTCCACCAGCCCCTCGACATTTCCTGCTAACCTCTCGGTAGATTTCAATGCCTGACAGATCCCCAGTTGATGCCGTCTCCCAGGAGTGGACCCGGGTCACGTGAGCATACACGGAAGGAAGAGAACGGGCCCGATCGGGGTCAGTCAGGTGACTCCGCGGAAAAAGGCACCATCTCCGGGCATTCATTTTGAGTCACCGGGACTATCTGATAACTAATTTGAGATAATAAATGAATCTGTCCAGTCCTTTCGTGAAGAAATCATTAGAGATTCCAGGTCTAAGAATCAATCTACCGGCTGATTGGGACTGGCGAAGCCCTTTCCAGCACGAACAGGAAGCAGAGCTAGTCGGGATCACAATGCGCGATTCCCAGATCTAATTGGGAGCCGTGGGCTTGATCGTGTACAATTTCAACCATGAGCAAGCGTCCTCATCAAGGGTCCCCACCCCGCCCTGCCTCCCAGTCTCCCGATCTGGTGGATCACACCCCCCAGGGCCTCTCGCCTGGGGATCCAGAGCAACAGCAACATGCATCCGGGCCCAGCAAAAAGCCCCGAAACTTTATAGCCACAGTGGTTGGTGCTTTCCCGTTATCAGTAATGTGCGAGATAGTAGTAGTAACCACTCCACTTAGGCATGTGAGAATTGCAGGCTTAAAAAGACGCGATGTGATGAGTCGCGACCGAAGTGCGGCTTGTGTAAGTCGCTGAACCTCGATTGCGTCTACAATGAGCGCAAGACCTCCAAGTAAGGCCGATTCAAATTCACCAGTCCTTCCTTTCCATTTTTGCTAATGCTTAGCGTAGACGGGATCATTCCCTCAGCTTGATAATGAGCACATTACATCGACTGGAAACTAAGCTGGAGAATGTTCCCACGACCATTTCCAAGGAAATCCACTCCCTTCGGGGTCAGTTGCCCCGTAGTTTGGATGGCACGGAGACAATGAGCTCGCTCGCGCATCACTCTTGCAGCACGAGCAGCTTGGGTAAGTTGGAACGCTTGGGCTCTCAGACTCTCACACCTGAAGCAATGCGACTGAACGAAGTGGAGCATGACGACCAACACCTGCATCCCAAGCCGACGGAGGCAAACGGGCTAGTCTCGATTTCATTCAGCCAGCATGGTGTGATATCCTGGTTAGGTGCTCAGGAGATCCTCCCACAACGGTTACTCGAAGCTCACGAGAAACTGGGCAAGAACTATGTGATTGACATGGAAATGAAGCGCCCTCAATTGCCCATGTACATCTGTCCTTTCCCAGCGCAGGCCGGGGACAACTGGTTGAACGCACTTCCATTGGCTATGGTTAAAGGCCTTTCGGATGCTTTCTTCACCACTTTCAACCTGTTTACACCCATAATCGACAAGAACTATTACTATGCCTTCACCCTGGGTGCGGCGATTGAGAGCAACTTTGGCTACAATATCGAGAGCTGTGTGGTTCTCAATATCATGGCGCTAGGCTGCATCGCTGTCCACGCCTACCAGGAAGGGGATTTCCCATTACTAGGGACGCGCAGTGGTCGTTTCGAGCCTCCTGACTGGATGGGGGTGGTCTACGAGGAGCCCCCCGGATTGCGCTTCTTCAACACTGCTCGCCAGCGCATTGGGTTTCTAATGTGTGACAACAACCTCCAAAGTTGCCAATTTTACCTCTTGTCATTGTAAGGCGTTCCGCCTGACTGAATTGATAGAATGCTGACTATGTGAAGCATCTACTACAGTCAAATCCTTCGGCCCATGGATTCGTGGGCCATGATCCATCGAGCGGCCACTTGCTGTCTGTCCATGCTCACCAAGTAAGCCATCCATGGCACTTAACTGAATTTCTGGTCCTTGCGAAACTGACATTAGTCAGTCACGATGTCCATTTCGATGAATGGGAAGGCGATATGAAATCTCGAGTATATTGGAACTGCTTAATGAACGAAACCATCCTCGTCCAAGAGTTACACGTCCCGCCCAGCGGTCTCTCCCGACTCGAAGAATACGTTCCAATCCCCAAATTCATCACCTTCGAAAGCGTGGGCTTCCCGGCTTCCCGCTCACTCTCATTAGAAGAGATAGACGATTCGTTCTTCCAATACCATTTTCTCGCGCAGGTCGCCCATCGAATTATCCTAACCCGCATCCGACACTCGCTCTACTTCCACTGTGAGTTACCCCTACCCCCATCATCTCTCGTCTGCCAGATCCATCAGACTAACCCTCCATCCCTACCAGCCGACTCCGGCACATTTCCCCACCCAGCCGTTAACGCCGAACTCCGTCACCAACTAGAACAGTGGCGCATCAACCTCCCCGCCGCCCTCCAGTTTCCCGACCACACAAACTCTGCCCTGACCACAAACCCAAGCACCCCAATACCTCCATCTCCAGCCTCCCAGCAACACCTTCCCTTCACCCCCTCCCCCCGCCACGCCCTATCTCCCGCGATCGCCGTCTCAGAAGCCATGCTTCGTGGCCGGTACATGATCGCCAACTTCCACATCGGCCGCCCATACCTTTACAAGGCGCTTCACACTCCCGGCTCCCTAACGGACAAAGATCTCGAGCAGATCCATATTGGTTTGCTCAATGCAATGAATTGGCCTGTCGTGGGTGGTATTTTCCAGCGCATGAAAAGTTGTATCCCGATTAAATTTGCTTTTTGTTCTCAGTAAGCTAACCCCCCGCCCTCCCATAAGATGTTGTTACGTGCTTACTTGGTTTACATAGATTCTTCGGCCAAATACTCCTCTTTTACTGTATATCTCACTCCTCGGACAGACGGTTACACGAGACTTTGCCTGCGGGATGGGAGCAATGGAATCAGGAGATGATGCAATTCTTAGAGGACTGTGCGCAGGCCAGTCCGGCGGTGGCGAAGGATTTGGAGTTGTTGCGGTTACTCTAATTGTAATAAGTATGTGTGTGGATGGTCTTCATGTATGTATGTATGTGTGGATGAATGAATTCAGCAAACAACATTCGAGTCAATATGCCATGATATATGATTTATTACCTATAAGTGCCCCCTCTTGATGGATATGGTGGGAATATAAAGTAGAGGAGAGGAAAGTGACTAATTAAGTAATGACACAAAGGCTGCAATGGTGTAGAATACCCCTTGTGGTATTCACCAGAAATGTATCTAAGAATTCGTCGACTGGGGTGTCCATAAGGAACGATTCCAGCTCACTTGGGGTTGCATTCTTCTTTAGTGGGCACCTGACCTCTACGCTGCCTGGCCCGTCGCTGATGATTACAGGCGTGTCCAAAAAGACCTTCTCTGCGTTTGCGACAAGAGGGTTGATGTATCCAGTCTCAGATTAAATCTGGTCTGCAGCGGCGGCGGCGAGAGAGTTTTTGGAGCCTACATCAGCGACGATAGGAAAGATGATACCGGGGCGTATGTCGGCTGTGTCATCGAAAGACTCTTTCCGGTGGCCCAGAATATAGACTCTGCTGGCACCATTGGTAGCGAGGGCATTGTCTTACTCAAATCTGTGACAGTGATATCATCATCAGCTTGTTTCCGGAGAGTATAAGAGTGACCACGCGTCACATACCGGAGCTTCCACCGGTGACGACGGCAACCATGCCGCACACACACAGGATAGATCTCTGATATTGTAGAACATATTGATGAAGTACTTAGCCCGAAGCACTTTGTAGTAATGGGGAAGAACAATCAGGACTTGAAAACACGATCCCAATTATAGACCTACAGGTTAGTGATACGTCCAGTGACACATTCAGGCAGGTTAGTCGGTATTTCTATCATATTTGAATATATCACAAATGACCGACAACTCCCAGCTTGCTATTCATGTACGTTGAAAGACTCGGTAGGACTGGTAGTACCGGAGCGATCGCCTGTATATAAAAAAAACAAGAATCAACAACCGCTTCAAACAGAACACCTTGACTGCTTTTCCCTTGTATTCTGCATCATCATCATCATCATCATCATCTTCTTCTTCTTCTCCTTAATAGTAAACACCCCAGACAAAGGTGTCCGTTGCAGTATGTGGATGTGCGTATGTGGATCTGTTGGAACGTAATCCCAGTAGATTACTAGTAGTTTATGTCACGTGACCCGAAAACTCCGTAATCCCAACCGCTCCTTCCGAGCGCGCCTGGATAGCAAGAATCAAGCGATTATTACGACTTCAATGTTGACCTAAAACGTCATCTCAACAGGTTATGAGCCCGGCTCCAACATGATACCTAAACCCTATACCAGCAAGCTGTCGGTTCGATGACACGCCTGATCAACCTACAAAAATTATAACATGAGGCTACCAGCAAAGACCCGACAGCCAATCAAAGCGCGCAAAAGCTATAAATCAACGAGAACACGCAACCGCGATACCTCCCAGAAACTGAGTCATTGCATTCACTATAACCGCAGCAGGTCTGAGGGGGCCGCGTTGAGACATTTGAGTCATCTCTGCTGCTTGGTGGCCATCGATATATCGTTTTGGTCTACTTGGCAGAAATCTGTTTTGACAGAATCTCTAGTGAATGAATTGAAACAGGGAGAAGGCGGTGTTAAAGGCGGTGAAAGTAGTGGTGTTAGCACTTAACTACGTTCTGACGGAGTATTAACTAGTAGTACTACTTTCTCCGCACTTCGTTCTCAGATAACACCAATCACAACTTTCCTCCATCAATGTTATCCTGAGAGTAGTCCACGGTTCAACGAAGCTGCCATCATGTCTCCATCAAAGAAGTGCAAGCGAACTCCCCCCCCTGCTTCTCTCAGACGGTCGGCACGTCTTAATCTCCGGGATGCTACCGCCAGTAGCACCATGCCGCCTCCCCCTCCCCCGCAGAGAGGCTTATCTATTCTTTCAACAGACACGGAGGCATCAGAAACCATGCTGAAGCTGCTCAGCGATGCTAATGAAAGAATCTCACAATATGCTGCCCAGGGTCGACAAGATGAAGACAAGCTCAAACCAGCTTTACAAGCTTTCCTCGAATGGCTCCCAGATGATGGGAAAGTATCCATTGCTAGAGATATCTTAGTTGCTACTACAGATGACCTTTTACATCAAGTGTTTTTCAGTCTCTTCACTACCCTTGCCGTGCCAATGAAAACACGGTCACATGCAGGCTCCGTGAAATGTTCCCCGCACCCTCACAGATTAGATGCTGAAGAAGCTGTGGCCTCTACCCTTGACGACCCGCTTGAGCGCGAGAAGAAGTTCCGCGATATGTGTTTAAGGAGAGATAACTATTGTTGCGTGGTTAGCGGGGACATGGATGTAGACAAGTTTTGTGAAAGAGGAAGTCCCGAAGGCGTTATTTCGGGAGACTTGAAGGTAGCACATATTGTGCCTTTCTCTTATGTGAATTGGAATACGTCGACACCACTACCCCAGGCTTCCACTATCTGGGAGGCACTGATGCGTTGTTTCCCAGGTATCCGCCAAATTGGACTTTCAGCTGAAACAATAAATCACGTATTCAATGGTCTCACGATGGAAGCACCTCTACACTCCTCATTCGGCTCATTTAGGCTTGCATTCAAGAGAACAGACATCCTGCATACATACCAGTGCATGACATATAGCGATTTTCCTACCCGCAACCATATGTATCTGCCTGAGAATGACATCATAGAACTCAAGCAAGCACTGGGCGCAGAGGATCTCCCACTACCAAATCCTGTGTTAATTGATTGCCACTACCGCTTGGCAGAGATTCTGAATGCATCAGGTATGGGTGAAAGAATTGACGAGCACTGGCGACGCTGGGAAGATATAAAGGGGAGTACTGCTGGACACATGCTAAGTCCAGATGGAGATACTGATCTGGGCTGTTTACTAGAAACTGCATTTTGGCACTGTGTCAGAAGATAGTAGATTATATCTCTTCAAGCTCACCCCGCCGCAGTTCTGTCAGAATAGAAATCATGAAATTGATAGCAGCTGCATATTCCGGTGTTAAGGCAGTAACTAGCTAGTAGTAGAGTACTCGGCCAATGAGTGCCCTCGAATTACGTGAAAGTAATTCGGATTGCTCATCGGCATCATGTACCCGAGTCAGTGACTGCTGCCTCAGGCCAGCGGCAAACACGGGATCGGAAAAGTGACCGGGAGACCGGCGGGCAGTCACGTGGGGAACACCCTTCCCACCTGCCGAGCTGCTTAGCCGCAGAGCATCCCAAGTCCGTCCCAAGTAAGTCCGGGGGCTCGGATCGAGCGACGGCAGTCTGCGTGCACCACTCAGCTTCGTCCCAGCGCCTCCCAAGTCCCCGCTGCCCCAGTTGATCTCCCCCAGTATTGGTTACTCACGGCCCACCTTTGGTCATCTCTGTTACTCTGTTAGTCGGTTCGCCCCCCCTGCATGGCTGACACCGCGGTTTTCCAGCCCTCTCAGTGTGCTTCCTGTTCGTCCCCACGCTCTATCCACGCTGTTCCCCCCCGAACTCTCCACGATCCAGCCGACTATGAATGCCGTTGTGGTTCCCCGATGTCTGTCTCGCGGTGGCCTTCGGGCCACTACCCCAGCTCAATGCATGGTATTTATATCGCCATTTCCCCTTCACTTTCATCATGAATATTCCTCTTCCAGATCAGCTTCATTTATCTCTTATCTTCTCTCTCACTTTTGGGTGATGTTCTAATCTGTCTCTTTCTTGTGATTATACCCGATCCCCACTCCGTATCTATTGACTTCCCCACCCCACCACTACCCCGAAGCTTGACCCGCTCTCTCGCGTGCACACTGCCCACATGGCTCCTTCACAACAAGAGAAGTATGACATTGTCATCGTGGGCGCTGGCCCCGTTGGCATTGTCCTGTCGCTCTGCATGTCCCGCTGGGGCTACAAGGTGAAGCACATTGACAACCGTCCGGTGCCGACCGCCACCGGCCGCGCCGATGGTATCCAGCCTCGTTCGACGGAGATTCTTCGCAATCTGGGCTTGAAGCGCCAAATAATGGCCTTCAAGCCCGCTAAGGTGTACGACGTTGCTTTCTGGGACCCTCTCCCGGGCGGACAAGGTATCCACCGCACTGGCAGTTGGCCCAGCTGCCCCCGCTTTATCGATACAAGATACCCCTTCACCACCCTGGTTCACCAGGGTAAGATCGAGCGCGTGTTCCTGGATGAGATCCAGAAGGCCGGTACCACAGTCGAGAGACCGTGGACCATCGTCGGTTTCAAGAATGATGGCTTGGACGAGACCTACCCCGTCGAAGTGCAGCTTAAGAGCATTGACACCAACGTAATCGAGACTGTTCGCACAAAGTATCTCTTCAGCGGTGAAGGTGCTCGGAGTTTCATCAGACAGCAGCTTGGCATCCAGATCCAGTACAAGGATCCCATCTCTTATGTCTGGGGTGTTATGGATGGTGTCGTGAGGACCAACTTCCCCGACATCGAGGTAAGCAAATTCAGAACTCGGTCACGATGCGAACGGTCGCTAATCTTCTGCCAACAGACCAAGTGCACTATCCACTCCGATGCCGGTTCTATCATGGTTATTCCCCGTGAGGACAACATGGTCCGTCTGTATGTCCAGATCGCTTCGTCGGACGACCCCGACTTCGACCCCAGAAAGACAGCAACCGCAGAGGATGTCCAGGCCACTGCTCGGAAGATCCTCCAGCCGTACTGGGTGGAATGGGATCGCGTAGAATGGTACTCCGTCTACCCGATCGGCCAGGGTATCTCTGAGAAGTATACTCTCGATGAGCGTGTTTTCATGGGTGGTGATGCTTGCCACACTCACAGCGTAAGTGTGCCTATTTCTCAAGGTATCCTGCCTTCCGAAAAACAGAAATGCGTTGCTAACAGACCCTGTAGCCCAAGGCTGGTCAGGGAATGAACACTGCTTTCCACGATGCTCTGAACATGGCCTGGAAGCTCCACGCCGTTGAGTCTGGTCTGGCTAAGCGCTCCATCCTCAGCACCTATGAGACCGAGCGCAAGGATATCGCCGAGACTCTGCTGAGCTTCGACAACAAGTACGCCGCCTTGTTTTCCAAGCGTCGCCCTACTGCCGGTGAGGTCGGCGAGGCCAGCCACACCACTGCTGCGGCTGGCGGAGAGGAAGACGAGTTTGTCAAGACCTTCAAGTCCTCTTGTGAATTCACCAGTGGCTACGGTGTTGCCTATAAGCCTAATGTGTTCACCTGGGACGCTACTCACCCCGCTCAGTCCCCGCTGTTCGACGTCCCCGGTGTCCGCCTGACCCCTGGTCGCGCTTTCACGCCTACCACCGTCACCCGGTTAGCGGACTCCAACCACGTCCACCTGGAACAGGAGATTCCTGCCAACGGTGCGTTCCGTATCTTCATCTTCGCCGGTAAGCAGGACAAGACCAGCAAGGCGATCACTGATCTTGCTGCCAACCTCGAGAAGGAGCGCTCGTTCCTCTCCGTGTACCGCCGCGCCGACATTGCCGACGTGTCGTTCTTCGAAAACCACCTGCCTCACTCCAAGCTGTTCTCCATCTGCCTGGTCTACGCGGGCGAGAAGAACCAGATTGATGTGGACTCTATTCCCAAGATCCTCCGCGACTACCACCACCACCTCTATGCCGACAACATCCCCGACGTGCGCGTTCCCCAGGCCACGTACGCCGCTCACGAGAAGCTGGGCTTCGACGTGGAGAAGGGTGGTGTTGTTGTTACTCGCCCTGACAGCCACGTTGCCTGTACCATTCAGCTGTCCGAGGGCAGCGGCACTGTGGACGCCCTCAATGCCTTCTTCGGCTCGTTTGCAACGAAGCCTTTAGGCCAGGACTCCCAGCAAAGCCGTCTGTAAATGAACATATTGCAAACCACAAGTTTTGTACTTTAAAGATCTTTTCCCTATCGATGTTAGGGTGAATTCTGTACATAGTCTTTTCTACATTTTGGTTTCTAGCTTCGTTCAGCCTGACTGATTATGAACCGGCATGGTTGGAGTTGTTTTGTCTTTGAGGAAATTCAATTCAAATCTTGATATGTTGAAGGCCTCCAGCTACTGTAGCAATCATAAAGCGAGGATCGTGCTACTATCTTCCACAAGAACTGACTACTATCCCGGCGGATTCCTGATACCCAAATCACTAGTAGTAATTTCGGTATACCTACTTTATCCACAACAGTCAATGGTCGACAGCCGGCAAGCCGGATCAAACCTCCACACCGGTTTCCTAAGCTGGTAAACCGGCCCGTGGGAAGGTTTGGACGGAAGCTGTGCCGGTCCGAACATTCCTGTGGTTGCTTGTTAACGTGGGCTTCTTAACCGATGTCCTTCGATGTCTGTAATAAGTCCCTTCCAGTCCATCTCCCCAACAGAGCTCAGTAACCACCTCATCGTGGAGCCAGAATAGCCAACAATAGGAGGTCTTAATCCAGCTGGATTTTAAAAGAGCCAAACGTTCAGAAGATATGTATACATTCATGGGGGTTTCATTTCCTGAAATGGATGCTAGTTATCCTCCATGAGTCAACGCCGCGTGAGGGAGGATACTATAGTACAGGAGGCGCTACCGCCTTTTTAATACCCTGCCTGAGGTGTAAAGTTACTGCCTCAGGCTGTAACGGTAGGGCTTCTGCCTGTACCAAAAACAAGACTTACCTACGAAGGTAGGCAGGGTGTGGCGTGAGCTCCATCCGCCCCCATCAGGTCGTAAGTGCCTGAAGTGGTGCAAAATTCAGTCTATGCTATTCATCCGCACGAATAGGTAAGGGACTAATAGCGAGCCTTCTTCGCCAGAGGAGATTCTATGGGGCTTGGGAGGCTATACTCCTTTCGTTGCACTCCTCCGAGCCTATCGGTCAGTCAGTATTGATCTGTAGGTCTGTCTCAGACGGCCTTGCTGACTAGCTTCCGGGAACCAGTATACCCTCTTAGAGGCACGGTTGTTTTACCATTGCCAGGGTGAAGATCCCAAGGGCTTCTTTAAATGGCCCCCAGCGCCTTATGGTCGAGTCTGGTTCTGAGCGTATAAATCGCCCCCAGACAATGATAATCCTATGTATGGTGCAATCATGATTGTTGCATTCATACTAACGTGGTTCCCGCCCCAGTCGGCCACCAATCTAACTCTATACAAGAAGATGCAATCTTTAGATGACAAAAATTCAGTCATATATTTCTAACTCCATCTATTTCATCTATTCTAATCATCCTTGGGTCTCATACACGATTGATTATATTGAGCACTGTATGCCTTCTAGCTGTTAGTATCCGATACAACAGTACCATTTACCGCATGGACGTTCCGATAGTATTGAAGTCCACCGGCATTGCTTCCAAAGACATCGAACGTTTCACCATACGAGACCGAACTCTCATCGTCAGAGGGTTCATAATAATACGCTGTTCCATGTTGTTCTGTATGCAGATCCAAAGACCCGGAGGTAAAAGTATAAGTCGAGACCCCGAGCCCACCGGTCGACTCGATATCTAGGCCTCTGCGGATCCAGGCACTAATGGAAAGTCCATCTTCGAGTCCATACGTCGTGTTACAAATCAGCGGATACTCGAACGTGACCTCGTTCGTAGTTCTGTTTCCAGTAAGCTGAGCGATCGTGTTAGAGCCAAAGGTCTGTTGATTGTTTTTCTGGCTCAATCCTTGCTGGTTCAGATATCCGTAGTTCGAGTATGAGAGGTTTTGACTCCATGAATATTCAGAAGACTTCACTGTCAATGTTCTTTCCGCCACGACAGAGTATGCCAATGTTTCGTTTGTCCCGTTCCGACTCTGGACAAGATTCCGCGTAACGGCGAATGTTGGCGCGGGGGCGTTCACCTCGGGCGCCTGGCCGGTTGCGGTTTGTGACATGGAGTCGTCCAAGTAAAGGAATATGGTGCCGGTGACCACCCAGTAGGAGCCAACTGCGTCGGCGAAACTCACTGTCCCGTCATCTGCGACACTCAAGCCTGTAACTCTGATCTCGAAAGAATGCGACTTGTTATCCTTGAGCAAGGGAAGGAAGGGTGTGATATCGATCTCAGGTTGGCGTAGGTCAAAAGCATCAATTCCCACAATAGGACGCCAGAACCCTGGAGCGACACCGCCGGTGAAGATTATGGGAAACGGCCAGTCCACGCCAGCAAGGACGCCGTCAATATAAAGCTGGACTTCACGGAACGGAGAGTACCCGTACAGCTCACCAATGGTATTGTCGAAGGTCCACTCATCGGCAGAGAGAACGTTGGACCACCAGAATTCTTCCTCTGACTGGCCACATGCAGAAATAGACACAACTGCACGGGATGCTGTCGGAGGGATCTGATATAGCACTGTGGCGTTGTCGGATGGAAGCTCAAAGTCACTTGATGCATTTTGTGCGGATTTGCGCGCAGATATTGGAAGAATAATATCTGGGGTTCTGACATTGCCCTCATACGAGAAATACGCCGTTAGAGTGGTATTGAAAGATCCGGTGTAGACATCAGTAATGATGTTTCCAAGATCAAAGATCAATTTCTGTTTTTCTTTCCACAGTACGTTGAACTGAGACATGTCTTTGATATAGGTCCAGATGATTCCGTTGGTCGTTGGTTCAGCAGTTGATGTTCGGAACACCTCTGTGTCCCCTAAGTACATAAGCGCCAGACGATCATACTGTGTGCCCTTGGAAGTGACAGTGAGATTGAGGCGAACGGTGTCAAAGGTACAATTCGGTGGCTCGTAGATCCCTGGTTCATATTTAGCTTATGAACTCATCGGATCATCTGTCCAGTACTGTTTCTCTCCTACCGACGTATGGTTCCCCATAGCTATAGCCGAAGACGTGGTCCATCAGGAGGATCGCCTCATTGCAACCAACGCTACCATGGCCTGTCGGGACGGGCTGGTATACCTCGAAGACCTCTAGAACAGCCCGCACTGGGGAAAATAGTAGAGACACTAGGTAGAATGCGACACTGAAAGAGACCAGCATGATTGCGGCTATCCTGCAGGGTGATGCCTACTCCGATCGATACCTCCTGCTCGTCTGCGTTTCTGGAACGAATCCCCTCCGAGTTTAGGGGGAAGAAGTGATACAATACTCAGTTGATGTTGCGACTGTGGGAAACTTCACGTGGGCGACGCAAGTATGTACTGTAAGCCCTTGAGAAAGCCCCAATGCACAAGAGAGATGCACGAAGTGCTAATAGGGTAGCCAGATATAGTACGGACGCCTATGAATGAGTGCAGTACAACGCCCATGGTTGACACCCCAGGGGGTCGGGAAGGGTATTTGTACGAGTCCATGGCGCATAATACATTATGTAACTAGCTGTGTTTTCTAGAGTGATAAGTGTCCGTATTGACCGTGCTCTGCATGCATAGATTTGTTTAGCGTGCTCCCTATTAACGGTGTGCAACTAGGCCTGATAGTCATGGGTCAAACGATGGTAATTCTGACGATATTGATGGTATCATACCTGTAACCAAGCATAGTGCTATGGGGTGATGTATCGCCAGTCACACTTGAAGAAATCCTGTGCTAGTTTGAATCAAGCATTATCGTTGGCTATCTAGATGGCAGGGAATGTAGGATGCAATTGCCCCTTGTTCTTGCTGTGAGCCGATGATAAGCTGCAGAAAGACATGGAAGGCCATTGGAGCGGCGCAGACGCGAGGAGTTGATTACCGAAGAGTGGACCGAGAGAACCTGGTGAATACAGGAACGAAGAGTATGCCAGGCCAATCATTGCCCGATTGTAAATGAGCGTGCTTTCCCCCTCTTTTTAACCCCGACGGACCCCGCCGGCCCCCTGAGTATTTCATGGCTTGTATGACACCGAATTGCTCTTCCCCCCGGCCCCTTCATTTCCCTTATCATTGGAATCGCATGGTTCGTAATACCCCCACCCTTCTTCGGCAGGAGTTGTTTAGGCGAGCAGCCGATCCAATGCAGACTCAGCCAGCTAGTAGTAGATTGCAAGATAATACATGTCGCGGAACCGCATCATATCACTTCGCGGCTTGGTTCATTCATCCATGCCTACATCACTGCCGCCGGCCACCGGCTAGGTAGGAGTCCTATTCCACAATGTATCTACTACACCTCGGAAGAGAACAAAGAAAAACAATGATTACAGAAGTCACCGCATCGCTAATTACACAAATGAAAACAGAAGATCAGCCACCTGTTCCTGACCCCGCCATATTGCTCGGCGGTAAGGAGACATAGTGGGAAGTTCGTACATGGGAAGTGTCATCTTGAAGGCGACATATAAGGCATGTTGATCCGGCCGAGTTGGCCGGAAAGCCCACAGAATGACGGGTTCACATGAAGAGACGCCAAGCACCAAGAATCAGAGCAGCGGTACCAGTGCATACACCCCTTGGAAAGATCTGTCAGCATTGTATTTTGTGGAGTGTCGGATGCCGCTTACATGAGCCATTGTAACGTGGAGAACTTGACAGCCTCTACACGCTCTCTCAGCCCAGCCACTTCCTGCTCAATTCTCGTTTCGGTCTCCTTTATACGCATTTCTTGGCCATTGGCTTCTTCCCGGATACGACCTTTCTCCAGATTCAGATCAAGACGCACCGATGCCTGCGTGCGACCGATCTCATCGCGTAGACGCGAGTTGAGTTTGGCGAGATCAGCGGCGATCTTTTCGTGCGACGAGCGAGTCAATTGCGCTTCGGTAGAATCTGCGTTGAGGAGCTCGGAGCGGAGTTTGGCAAAGTCGACTTTCTGTGTGTAGGCTGACCGTTCCGTGTCTGTAGAGATGGGCTTAGAATGTAAATGCTCTTGGGTTATAACATGCATGGATATGAAAGACTACCCCAGGCGCAGAAACGCATAAATCACAGGAGCGACTAACCTTCCCGAAGCACCATTGTGCGGGTCAAGTTCTGGATGGACTCCTGAATGACGTCGTTCAGAACCCGCATCATGGCAACAGCCTGCTCTTCGCTAAACCCCTCGTCTTTCAATCGCTGGACGAATTTCAACGTATCAAAGTGATGGTCGCGCTCGCGCGAAGCGGAAGCATGGAAAGCTCTCCGAGCAGGAGTGAATGCAGCGACATAGACTCCGTTATGCCGGATGGGGTTTCCGAGGGGTGCGGCTGGTTGACTGGTCGGCTTGGTTGTGGAAGGGAACCGTCTTGCGATCGATGATGTGCCTAGATCTCGGGATGTTGCGGGGACTATTAAGCGAGTAGCGGACCGGGAAGTCGAAGTATGCAGTTGTCGTCCGACAGAAATCCAGCCCCGTACCATATGTTGCTTTTGTTGGCGCTTCGCTGGTAGGGCAGTAGTCTGGGGAGAAGTGATAGTAGTACGGGCAGAGGAGCCGTTCCAAGTCAGACGGGGAATAAGGGAACGGGGCACCTCTGTCACAGATTTCTGGGGCGCCATGGCTCTCAGCTACTGAAGGCGTGAGCTAGGCAGCGAGGAATATAGTATGAGAAGAGATCCGGCCACAAGCCGTGAGGAAAGTCAAGGTGATCGAGTTGGAGTTTGATCTTGTTAGATGATCGGGTTGCAGCTCGGCGTGAGTGTAACTCCGCATGGTCTAACATTCTGCCAGTCGCCTCACCGCCCAGTTCAAGATCTCTTGATGTCTTTCCACGTGACTAGTCACATGACCTAGTTAGCCGTTTGTGGCGGGCGAGAGTGACTGATGCAGCAGGCGGCAGACCTAAAGGGCGATAGTGAGGTGAAGCTGGTGCCGAAGGCGGGTCATTCACCGATGTTGGAGGATGCGATAACATCTACAGAAGTGGTGAATGAGTACCTACTCTAGAAGCGGCTGATGTACAGAGCTGTTATGTATATAGGTGATCAGCAATAATGGTACAATGTCGGAAAATTGCTGACATCAGAGGTGTAGGGTCAAGCTTCTCTTCCCCTCTTCTCATATCCTTACATTGTAAGACTTCCCTGGTACTATGTCCCATTCTTCAACCTCTACTCTCTACATTATCCATCCTGATAGCATATGAATCTGTAATAACCAAGCAAAACTAATCGTAATTCGCGTTACCAGACAAGAGTATCTAACATGAGGGGAGAAAGGAAGAAGTGTAGGGGAGAACATGGGAGACCACGGATAAGCGAGCATACCAAGCGAGACAATCAAAGCAATCAGAACTATGCCACATGATTTCGCACGCCGCTCGGCATCACACTGGTTTCGTGTAACATCTTTACTATCATTTCAAATCATAAGCTTGAAAGTAATTGAAAGGATCAACATCAGAGATGCATTCGCATTCATAAATAGAAAGAGAGAAATATAAAAGAAACAAATGATTGATAAGCGGGTCAGATAGGTTTGAGAAAAGAGAGATAACAAAGTTGGAAAACTATTTGTCGTCAGCGACAGGAGCTGTGCACGCGAACGTATAAGATTCCGAGTCTGACGCCTTAACCGCTCGTCCACACTGACTTATTGCTCTAAATTTTGATACAATCAAATGTTATATACTATATTATCACGCAACGCAAAAGATCATACAGTATTTGGCTCTCCTGTCCATCCCGCGCAGAAGTTATGACAGGGGTGTGTATAGTGTGTCCGGATACCGGTGTCACTACTTACTCTTTTTGATTGGTTCAGCAACCTTGACCTGAAACCGCACTAAACTATGTTTGGATGTCAGGAGGAAACTCTTTAATCCGCAGTTGTATGGTAAATTACTATCTATACCGTGACGAAATACTGTATTAATGACTAAGCTCCACGTGCCTCTAACCCATAATCCACGTGCCAAACACATCTTACCAATACCGTACTAACACTTGGTTACTGCTTGCAATTCAAGCAACGCAATGGCTCCCAATCTAGCTCAATCGACGCTTGACCTCATCCACGATATGCTGGTCAGCGGTGAATTAACCACATCACAAATGGCTAAAACCGCTAATTGCAGTAAACGCGCAATATTCCGACTCCGCTCTAATCTTCGATTGTTTGGCACTCTCAAAGCCCCTCCGATAAAAGGCGGACGCCCGCGGAAGTTAACTCCACCAATGCTAGAAGCCCGTTGCGATCATTTAATAGAAAAGCCAGGTCTGCACCTGCACGAAATGGAACTCTTTCTGCTGGACGAATTTGACATACGTGTGCCGAAGTCTACTATCAGTGATACTCTACGCCAGTCCGGTTGGTCTAGAAAGGAATGTCGGCAGCAAGCGAGAGAACTAAATGCCGATTTACGTGATGATTATATGCATCTGATTTCGGAATTCCAGTCGTTCCACTTGGTTTATGTGGACGAGTCTGGATGTGACAAAAGAATAGGCTTTCGAAGAAGCGGGTGGTCTCCGAGTGGTACAACACTGGTTCAGGTGTCAAGATTTCATCGGGATCAGCGCTACCAAATACTCCCTGCTTACGCACAGGACGGTGCTATACTTGCTAGAGTTTTTCGAGGCTCAACTGATGCATCATTCTTTGAGGATTTCATCGAAGAACTACTTCAGCATTGCGGGAAGTGGCCCGAGCCCAAATCTGCACTTGTGATGGATAATGCGTCCTTTCACCGTTCTGGTAAGATAGAGCAGATGTGCTGCGAAAAGGGTGTCAAGTTCGTATATTTGCCGCCCTATTCACCGGACCTAAACCCCATAGAGGAGTTCTTTGCCGAGCCTAAGGCTTTTATTCGGCGGAATTGGCAGGCGTACGAGGATAATACGGAGCAGGGGTTCACAGCATTCTTGGAGTGGTGCGTTGATAAGGTGGGAGCAAAGCAGCAAAGTGCCGAGGGTCATTTTCGGCATGCAGGGCTGACTATTGAGTATCCGGGCCACAGAGACGGTGGTACACGTACTTATCGACTGCCCACAGCTTAGCGCAATACGTCAAATACTGCGGCAAAAGATTGGAGGAGCCTTAAATTAATATATCAATTATGCTAGGAGGAGCAGGTCAAGGTAGGGAAGGTAGGCTACAAGGTGTCCCGCCAGACAGCAGCGTCCTCGGGGCGGTCCTGGACTTCGCGGAGGCATCGCAGAGATTTCGAAGTCGCGCGCCACGAGGGCGGCAAAACACAACCCCAGGCACTGGCCCACACAGGCCTTGACGAGGCTCCAAATTCGTCAGGAAAGTAGTAGTTCACGTTCAAAGTTGTATATAGAGAGTATAGATAGTGGATCCTGCATATCGCCTTAAGCGAGGGGCCAGCGTATGAATCATCATCATCATCAACTGTATGATAACTTTTGCTCCACTGTTGTAGGCTTTTCAACCTCAACAGTAGAGCGTAAATACCTATTCGACTGAGACAAATCAACTGCGAAGGGTAGTCAAGATGATTGACAATTTGAAGTTGAAGTTCAGCAGGCAGATTTATTAATGTGGCGGTAGATGAACGGGCCATAGCAGCTTTGACGTTGTGGATATCGAGCGTGGGGCTGAAAATCTTCAGAATTCACGGATACAGTGTGGGGCGATCAATTAAGTCGGCAGCTGCCCAATGTGTTGATTTGGCGTCAGCTGTTGTCCGATTTGCATGAATGTTTCTAGTCACATGTGTATTTTCTTTACAGTAGCGGGGGTATGCCTTGTACAGTAAAACATACTCAAAATACAATCACAGAATACACTGGGTATTATAACAGTCTAAATATATATATGCTAGCGTTTCTTGGCGGATTTTCAAAACGCTACAATGGATTTTAGCGGGGCAGGCTGAAATCATCTTCATCATTATACTTTCTGAATCACAACATAACATTTACTCTAAATTGCCTTGGTTCAAATGTTCAAATAATTGAAAACATCTGCTAAAGCTTGTCACAGTAACATTTCCTCGAGCCCTATGGCTTGGGCACGATGAAACCAATATTATCGCTTCCATAATGCACGGTGCATGTTGCTGAACTTAGAAGAGATGCACGTACAGTATGTGGCAGTAGCCTACGCAGATAAACGAAGCGTACAAAAAAAGCTTGACAAACTAGTTAGAAAGCAAATTCTGCAAACGTCTCCATGCCTTGCAGGCGCCTCGTATCGCGAGTCGTCACACGGAGCCATGCGCCATATCGTCCTTTCCATGGCGAGCTAGGTATAGGCGGCGCCTATTCTGTCGCTCAAGAAGTTTGAGTTGCTTTCTATAAGTTCGGAGAGCTTGGTAATTGCGCTGATTACTCTGAACTTGCTTGCCATCCTTGAGGAAAGGCAGCGAATCAACATCCGCTCCTTTCTCAATCAGTAGCTGCACAATCTCAGTATAGCCTTCAGCAGATGCTGCCTGGAGAGCAGTTCCGTATTTTCCGCCCTGCGCATTCACATCCGCTCCTTTCTCAAGCAGCAGCTGCGCGATTCCAATGTGGCCTTTATTACAAGCTGCTACAAGAGGAGTGCCGAAGTTTCCGTCCTGCGCATTAATATTGGCTCCTTTCTCAAGCAGTAGCTGCACAATCTCAGTATAGCCTTTAGCAGATGCTGCCTGAAGAGCAGTGCCGTAATATCCGCCGTCTTCATTGACATCGGCTCCTTTCTGCAATAGCATTTCTGTAACACGTCGGAGGCCTGATAGCGACGCGCAGTACAATCGAGATTGCATCTTTCGATGTATCCTACGCCGCTTATTATAGGACCAGGGCGCATCCGGGTTAAACAGTCTAACCCAGACCTGGTAAGCGTTTATTTCCAAAAACCTCAGCATAGCTTCCTGGACATCTTCCAGAGATTCTGCCACTTTTGCATGGTCCAACCAGTACTGAGCGGAGTACCTCGCTAGCGGGAAATCTTGCTTGATTTGGGGAAGCGGACTCTCGTGAGGCAGATATGATAAGTATGCCAGACATACTCTTGTGAGAGCTCCCCTTGCACTAGTTTCGTTGATACAATTTTGATATAGTAAGCCGACTTCTGCCATATTCGCCGGGAATGTCGCTGCAATCCGGCCAGACATAAGATACTGTTGAACAGAGAAATGCGCTAACTGGAGCTCCATCGAATTTCCGCGTTTGTGTTTGTTGGGTCTTGTAATAAGAGTCACCAAACTGGAGCATATTTTCATAATATCTCGCGGCTGCGGCATTCTTAGCTCGGGGTCGAACGGAGCGCCTATGCGGAGATCGACTACCAACGCATCGACAGCCTCTTCAATTGCAAGAGGTCGTTTTGAGTAAGTGAGAAATTGTAGAACCCTAATAGCGTAATCTCGATAAATCTCATCAATGTTGGCCAAGATTCGCCCGTATGTCTCCTCTAATGTTTTTGGAAGAGAGCTAAGCGACTCTCGAAGCTTCCGAAGATCTGGACACTTTTCGAGACTGTCAAGTTGGCATGCAGCCCATCTGAACCTAAATGTGGCGTCAGCACTGGCTGGCTATTGAACTTACAGTAGATCGTAAATTGGGAGCGTATCTTACATTCCATCGGCTTTCTTCATGAGTTCAACCTCAATTTCGCCTTGGACGTGCTGTCGCGAGCGCCACCTCTCAAAACCTCGATCACTCTGAAGCCGCGTACGGACGTATGTGCGAATGTCACCGTTTACAGCATCTGCATCAATTGATATAATGCTGTCATGATGCAACCAACGTCTAATTTCGGATTCAATATCCTCTTCTTTCCGGCTCGTAGCGAAAAGATAGCACCCAGCGGTTGCGAGGTGCTCTATTAATAAGACAAGATCGGCTCTAGCATTGCATTCATCCAAAGCATCTATCACGATGCGGACCTCTCTGTCCTTCGTCATTTGCAGGAACGTGCTGACAAGGGTCTCGTATGCAGGTTGTCTTTGGCCGTTTTCGCAGGACGAGTATACCATGTCTAGCTCTTTCCGAGAATTTTCACATATGGAATACAGTTGTGAAACAAGTGAACGGACGAGCTTGTCAATGGACTGTTTTTCGACATCGGTAAAATCGAAGAAATAATAGAGAACGGCATAAGAAGGACGTAGGAGCTGGCTGAGGTGCTCTATAACTGTCGCACTGAGAATGGTCTTTCCACACCCTGGAATTCCATGTAGCCAAAGGTTTTGCAATGTTCCGGACTTCCATTCTAGGAAAGGTCGTCTATCCAGAAACCAGGAACCTGTCGCCAAATGTCGTTTCTTCAGAGCTTTATTCAGGTTGGAGGAGGGATCAGGTGGATACAGCCACTGATGTACTTTCTGGCACCGATTGTCCTGAACAAGATATTGAATTTGGTTCGTTATTTGTTGGACATCTTCAGGTTGGTTAGCGGACAGTATTCGAGCAGAGCTAAACGCTTATTGCTGACCATTACTGACCACGCTCAGCTATCCGGCATTGCCTGACCTCATCCACAGGCATGTGGAAGAAGAGCTCCCTTGCGTACGCAGCTGCAGTTGCCGCGGCGTAACCTTGCCACCGATCATTCTTATGCGAGTCTGCATAGTCCGAGACACCTCGTACAACAAGGCAAGGGAAGTCCGCTAAAGCTCCGGCGGCCTCCATCTCGAAACAGAGGATGCCATGCTGCCTTGCTAATTTATCTCTCAGCAGCCCATGCTTTAGAACCAACTCGCCGGCGGCAATCGTTCCTCGGTGCACCACCACTTGCTCGCGTTTCACACATATATCGTCATCATCGTCGCTTTCATCCGAATACCGATCCACAACCTGGCTTAAGTCACAACCACACTTCCGGCAGGAAGCTGTGGGGTCAGAATGAACGTATTCTGGTCGGAAAAGCTGATCTCTATGAGCTCCGGGATATTTGTACCTCCGCAGGCCCGGAATAGCGGTGTTAATCCGTGAAATATGGTTAAGAAGAGGATCTTCTAGCGCCATTGCACGTCTTACATCCATCTCCTGTGCGGCATTGAGCAGCACAGGGTGGAGGTGGAGCTAGGTAGCCGGTGTGACGAAACTGACCAACTTCGGCCTTTCCATGATCGTACTGTACCACGCCAGAATGCTCGCCTTCTGGTTTACTCACTATAACGTGGCCGAGGTGGATGTGACCCCGTCCAGTCTTCGTTGGAACGCCGCCACCTATGCCGACAAGCACACCGAATCTTAAATGCCGAAAGGTACTTCTCATTTGCGTCACAACAACAGCCGCAGAGTTGTTTCCTGGGGAGTAAAGACCAGCAATAACAATATTATGCCCGTTGATGCTGCCCAGTGTGTAGACATTGTGGTCATTAGGTGGTTGTCTCAGGCGCTTGTGTTCGCTGTCCAACATTGTTATAGCAGCGATCTGCTCGACTTCCAGCGGACAGATCCAAGCAACAGTATAGTCGTCATGCGTAAGTCTCTCATTATTTGTTGACATTTTAGATCGTTCATTCAGTGAAAAAAGGAGGCTCAAAATTGGTGGATGCTGAATATCGAAGAGACCGATTCCCGCAACATCAGAGAGCTTGAAAAGGGGGCTGACTAGCTCAGCTGATCAGCAACTTAGCGGCCAATGAGGTTATTCCGTCCGCGACAACGATATTGGTTGGTCTTTGCAAGGTACGGCAAGCCATTAGCGCCACTCCGCAATAGCTCATGACACGATATTTTCTGCTGGGTGTGAGTGTTCATACAGAATCGCACCTGTCTATAGTGCACTCGTACTAGTCGCGCGAGCGCCAAGATTGCGCACCAGCTCACACCCTTTAGATGCACCCACTCGACTACTGACCGCATGTAAGCCGTACGCCATATGCCCACGCTAACGATTTATCTAGTTTAGCCCGCTGGAGGAAACGGGTGATCGCTGCTTTTCGGTCCGCAACCTCGGGTGAGAAAGGTGAGTGCGCAATAGACAGGGCGAGGAGCTGAGTGAGAACCGGATGAGAATCACCGTCCGTCGCGCGACCACCACTTGACGGAAGCCGAACCATGGTGTAATTCAACCTGGTAATTGGCTCCTTCCAGATGTATCCATTGTCTCTTAATTTCATGAAGACGGCTGGGAGAATTAAAGTGAAGCATATACGGTCGAAACAATTCCAAGATTTGAATGAATGATATGATGTCTTCTTTTTGAAGTCACAGGTATAAGAGTTGAGATCATCATGATACGTTGAGAGTTGCAACTTGATCCTCAAGAGAAATAAATGCATGTTAAGTTAGAGCAGATGATTTACGTTAACCCTGGGTCGCCGATCGCTCAGTCCACCTGACCCAGCCGAAAGCTTAGGGTCTGGTGCGTTGGCGCTGTCGACGGATTCTGGCCAGTCTCGAATATTCTAGCCAATCTGCGTGATGACACCAAGCGCCTCTCCGTGAAGAGTTTTCTGGGACATTCAATTGCCTCTCCGGAAGAGGTCAACAATCATATTTCGACTTTCTTCATTAGTTGCTAATATACGTGTACAGTTAGCCCAATCGCCGGAACTTCGTGTCAGGATATCGCATACTTCCTCGGCGTGGTTGATCTCTTCGATAATAGAGAAATACAGTATTAATACTACCCTTGGGTCCTAGGTCATATACGCTTCCGAACGTAGTTGAAATCAAAACACTCCAACCCTAGGCTAAACCTTTGGACATGGAGGTCAGGAGATTGTTTGCTTCTGAGGATGAAATGTATCTGCGTACGACTTTCCTATATACCATGATTGAATCCAATTCTTCTCGAATATCGATTACGGTGTATATCAACGTTATTCTCACGCCAGCGGCGTTCCTGTCGTATAAACTTAGTAGGATCTCCTACTGTACAGCTGGCAGATTCTCCCAGTTGCAGCCTGTCGGCCCTCATTAATAGACGTGGGTTGGCTATATATTGTCAAGCTATGTGCGAGAGGTACAAATCCACTAATGACAATCGAGATGCCTGTCACATTCCGAAGATGGCTGATCACAAGGGCAGCACTGTGTGTATCAGCGTTAGTCTATGATGATATGTCACAGGGAAAACCAATAACTAACTGAACTTTGATAAAAGTGCTCTGGTTGTCTTGGACTAACTTGGCACTCTTCGAGTTATCTCCGCTTCAAAATGAGTCAGAGGCTTTGTGAGCTCAATAGCTTATAGTGTGCAAATCGCTCCCGTTTGAATCTCAATGTCACCACGAGGTCCCTGATAAAATAGAAGAGCCCAATAAAGCCAACCAACAGAATCGCAACGAGCGGTCCAAGAATGGAGAAGACAGTGAAGCCATACGAAGCTCTCCGAAACGCAAGGTTGTCACTAAGGCAATTGGTAGCCAGCCCAACCTGCATTGCCGTCAACACTAAAGCGACGTAAACAGTCGTTGCGGTGAGGGGTGTGAGATAGTCCCGGAATAGCTCGTCGTACGTCTGGTATGGGAACTGATAACCTCGGATACTGCCGTAACGAAAATTATAGATTTTGTTGAGTCGTGAGAGCCGAAGTTCGCCGAACAAATATCGATCGTTGATATTTCTGGGGTTAGCGTTTCCGTTTTGCAAAAGTTGTTGGACCAATTTATGCCAGCCCTCCCAGGTGACATTTTTCTGTAAGAGGTGATGGTCCTGGGCAATTGCAAAATCACACTCTCGCTCAATTAAGGCAATGTAGGAGAATAAAAATCCGAGGGCACATTCGTATAGTTTCTTTCGCTGACAAACCTTGTCCCCTTTATCTGCCTGGCAGTAAAGTTGATTAGATATGCAGGGACAGAGTTCGTCGCAGGTCATCTGAGACTCCCAAAATTGATGGTTTAGAAGGTATCGCGGGATCGGCTTCAAATGGATGCGCCGAGAGTGCTCCCAGACCATGTGCATGTCAATTCTTTCATCTGGGACGATGACTCGTGATGTTGCGACCTGATAGTTCAAGGGCCTGGGCGGCATAGGTCGCCCAGCCAACCATAGGTCTTTGTTGATTTTATTAAGTCGTTCGACAGATAGGTCCTTTTGTAAAAACCGGGGAATATCTGCAGTAGGCCTGCAGGGCGTGTAGTGCTCATCGCGAAAAGTAGCAGGCGTATAGGGTGTACTTGAAATGGAGGCTTCTGCACTGAATGGCGCGTTTCCAGGCATGGCTAGAGGAGATGGTTATGTATTGAATTGCAGAAAGTTGCGGTCGTGGGCAACAGCATGACAATCGACCAGTGTACCGTTTTCGCATTTGAAAGGATATCCTCGGCTATAAAACACCTCTTAAACCGCATTAATATTTTTCGAATCTACTTGGTCCAAGCCGGTGAGTTACCCTCAAAAGTGCTTGGCGGGAGAAGGCCTTAGTGCTCTAAGCCAGCTTGGCGAGAAGTTCGAGCCTGGCTAGAACCTTCCGCTTGCGGCGATCATGCGGCAGGAAAGAAGCAGTACCCTGGATTTCTTTATCCAAAACTCAATGCACCCATGAGCAGTTGTCGTGAATACCGATGGCTGACGTGGAAGTATCCGATTCGACGTGTACTAACTGCTTGGTGGTAGCTGCTAGTATTGGTGGATGGTGATCAGGCGCGAGCACACCACCCGTGGTGACGTATGAGCTGCCCAAACGCAGCCGCAAAGATCTCTTTCCTTGACAAATGATAATTTCAAGTGCTAAAGGGTGAGGGAGCATGCCCTTTTAAAACTCCATGTAAGCATTTCGAAGTGCGGCCATAAGTTACGAAAATCCGAATCGATGGAACATCAGAGAACACCTTGTCCACTGGCGGTCCGACAAAAGCTCGGCACTTGCTGAAGCTTTTCGCCTGTATCCAACTACTAATCAAGTATCCGACAAAATTCGATCCGGCCGTTCGCATGACAGTTGCAGCTATGGACCTGATCTTCGGCGGCATCGTCGGCATCGTCGGCATCGTCGGCATCGTCGGCATCGTCGTCCTTCTCTATTTATTCATCTATTTATTCATTGTCTGCCTGGCGATAATCTTTTTGCGCCGCAGCCGACTCCACCAATCTCAGTCAGCACCACGACCAGCGGAGCCTGGTTTACGATTGGTGCACGATGCTCCCGAGGAGAACGAGACGGAAAAGCCCATCGACATCATTGCCATCCATGGCCTTGATACGAGGTCGCCTGATACGTGGACATGGCAAGACCCCAAAGATCTCAGGAAGCAAGTCAACTGGCTGGAAGATTCAAAAATGCTCCCAAGCAAAGTGGGACGGGCCCGGATCTTCACATGTGACTGGCCGGCCGACCTGTTCCAACGGTCAATTCCGACGACGCTCGAGGAGTCTGCTCGGTTTTTGATCCGCAGTATCTCACAGCATTTGGCAGCAGAAAGACAGGTAGAAGACCGACCAATTTTCTTCATCGCATCCTGCCTCGGGGGTATCATTTTGATAAAGGCCCTCGAGATCAATCGCCGTGATGGCCACAAAGGCGGTCGCTCGTCTCTCATAGAAGCGACACGTGGTGTTGTTTTCCTTGCCACACCGTTCCTGGGGACTGCATTCAAAGATATGCCAGATCTATCTCTTAAGGTCTGGGCTGCTCTCAAAGACCAAACAGTGACCGCACTGATTGACTACACGAAGCAACCGACACCTTGTCTCAATGAGCTCGTGCGTGGATTCACTGAACTGAAAGTGAACAAGCGTTACCACGTGTTCACCTTCTGGGAAGCTCACAAGACGAGTCTTCTTGGGAAAATTCATCTCGCTTGGATGTTTTCCGACAGGGTGTTTCTGATCTGGCCAGTAGCTGTAATTTCAATCTGGCTACTCTATTCATTTCCATGGCCACTGGCTACCACCTCTCTTCTTTGGCTATTAGGATTCTGGCTGTACGGAGCAAAACAAGTAAGTATTACACTTGCCGGCTCAGTCTCTTCTCGTCCCATAATCGTTACTTAGGAAGAGAACGGTTGCTAACTCTCTCTAGCTGGTGAGCGAGAGCTCGGCAACAGCGCAGTTTTTTGAGCGGCAACGTCTCAACCGACGCCACGTCCTGATGAACAAGTTCCGCGACCCTGAGTGTGACGACTACAACGAAGTTGCTGGAGAAATTTGCAAAATACTGAAGAAAATTCGCGAGGAGCAGACGCCACTCGAGGAAGCGGACGCCGAGATATGCAAGCACTACACGGCGGAACGGCTCAAGATCGAACGGCTCTCAGGCAAGGCCTTGTCGATGGAGCAGTGCTACATCAACCTTGCCCTCGTGGAGCAGCCCGGGAAAAATGCGGATGACTTGAACAAAACATCAAAAGAAGGAGTCACAACACCTCAGTCTTCCCCGTTTTCACTCTCTGCTCGACTGAAAGTTGAGACGCCGGAAAAGAACATCCAGGTTGAGTTGGGGACAGTCTTCGACCAACGCAAAGGACCAGACGGCCACACTGTACAGCCTAGAAGAATCTTGATCCGAGGACGTGCCGGAGTGGGGAAGACTACCTTGTGCAAAAGGATTGTACATGACTTCATCCACGGCCGCGCATGGAAGAATTTATTTGACCGCATAATCTGGGTACCTTTGCGAAACCTGAAGCTTGAAGAAAGACGCCAGATCGCCGGATACAATCTTGGCAGTTTGTTTCGTGATGAGTATTTCTCTCAACACGGCAAGAGTGACGACCTCGCCAAAGCGATGTGGCGTGCATCGGACACCAAGAGTGGCAGAATTGTGTTCATCCTTGACGGTTTGGATGAGGTTTCTCAGGACCTGGATCCTGACAGCTCTATGTTCCATTTCGTCCAAGAGCTCCTAAATCAGCCCAACGTAGTCGTCACGTCCCGACCATATGGCGAACTTCCACTCGGCGTCCGCGCTTTCGATCTTGAATTGGAAACGATCGGGTTCTACCCAAACCAAGTGAAAGACTATCTCGAAAACACCTTTACCGATTCCAAACGAGTCGACGATGTTCAATCATTCCTCCAAGGCCATCAGCTCATTCAGGATCTTGTCCGAATCCCAATTCAGCTGGATGCGTTGTGTTATACCTGGGACGAAGGTCTCAATTCCGGAAGCATACCGGAGACCATGACAGCCGTTTACCAATCCATCGAGCAAAGATTATGGAAGAAGGATGTCTTGCGATTGCGGAAACAACATGATGGGGAGCGAGTGAAACATGGTCATATCGAAATGGCAAGTCCGTCAAAAATTGAGGAATTCGTCACGGACGAGATTTCTCTACTTGAGGGCCTTGCCTTTACAGGCCTACTTAACGATGTAATTGACTTTAGGTCAAAACATCTGCGCGATGTATTCGACAACTTCGCTCCAAATCTCTTACCCAATAAAACCCTACCAAACCTATCCTTCCTGCGGACGTCAGACCAATCTTCAGAATACAGCAACCAAAGCTATCACTTCCTACACCTGACCTATCAAGAGTATTTTGCGGCGCGGTATTTCGTGCGGCAGTGGAAAGCTCGAGAACCGCAACGGCTCACGTTTTTGATGCTCAGCAGCGGAAAGAATGAGCTGATCGACCCTGCCGATTTTCTCGGCAGGTATAAATACCACTCTCGCTACGATATCTTTTGGCGTTTTGTTGCCGGCTTGCTTGACGTTGAAGGGGCTCTCTCCTTCCTCAGGGTGATCGACGAGGAGCCACTCGACCTCTTAGGCCCTACGCATCAACGGCTTGTCATGCACTGCTTGAGCGAGGTTTGCCATCCATTTCCACTTCGAAGAAAGCTTGAAGCCCATCTGTCAAAATGGTTGGCATTTCAATGCAAGAAACTCAGGGAATGGAACCAACACACCGGGAGGCCAGTCACTCTAGCAAGCGAGATCGAGTTCCCTGAACAAGCCATAGTCAACGTTCTACAGGAAGAGGAGGATGAAGTGAGGATGATCGCTCTCCGGTCTATGGAATCACGACACGAAATTCCACTTGAAATTACAAATACAGTAACCGGGTGGCTTCAAGGCGACATATCAGATGAATTGGCAGGATCTGTACTGCAGCTGCTCGAAAGCTCAAGGAATCAG